AATCGTATTCTAGACATAACAGAGTATTTAAAAAAAAAGTTTTGAGTCATTGGGTGCATTTTTGGCATTTTTGTGCTACTTCAAACTTTCGAAAAAAAATTTAGTTTTTTTTGAGGGAAAAAAATTTGTTAAATTGTTTGATATCTTGGCCAATTATAATCCGATTTCGGTAAAATTTATACAAGTAAAAGATTTCATATTTAAGAGTAAGCTCTGTAAGTGGCATTAAAAAAATTTAAATAGATTGGCCGTTATAGGCAAACAATGAAATTAGGCTTGCGGTACATTTTGCCCTTCCGCCATATGCCCAATTTTGGGATTTCTCTTGCCCCCTTCCGGGAATTAATAGTCACATCCTTTAAGTTTAAAACTAATTTTTGTTTCTTCAAATATCTTAATTTTTATCAAAGTTATGAAGAATTTAGTGTTTGAACATTTAACAAATTCAATTTTTCGACCTTCGCCGCCTCAAAATACTAAACAAATTTCAATCGTCCATACCGCGAGAACGGTACATCGGATCAAAATTTCTCAGGAGACATAAAAACTAGCATTTTTTCTAAGCTTTCAAATGTCGTAAACCGCGTTATAAAAATATTGATTTATTTGCGACATGCGCATGCGCATGCGCAAAATTGAAAAATTGACAAAATCCAAAATTTCGGCACTTTCGAAAAACTGTTACATTTTGTTTTGCCTTTTTTCGAAAAGGTCACCTCAAAATACATAGAATCCATTTTGTTTCATCTAATTACAATTTAATGTAAGCTCAAAACCGGTAATTTAATTCGATTATAAGGGCTATTGAAATATTTGGAAAAGTTGACAATAATTGATTTTGAAATATAAACTCCAAAATAAACTTAGGATCTTGTTGAGAACCTTCTAAAGTTGAAGCTGATTCAAAGTAAATCTTGAGTGTTTTAATTTCTTCATATAAATCAGATGCAACAATATCAAATTCGTTACGAGAATCATCCGTCAAAAGAGAATTCAAATGTTTACATGATTTTAACAATATCTCATTTGTTAAGGTGAACATATTATACATAAATCCAAACATGTCGTTAAAACTTTGCAATCCTTTGAATCGCTCTTGTAAAGATGACAGTATTCGGTCCAAAATAGAGAAAAAAACATTCACTTTTAAATGAGTTTTTGCATCGGTTATAGGCTCATCATCATGTTCATAATCAAATTGTTTCGTTTTTTTTCTACGTAGAATATTTTGAGAAAGTGGAAAGTTTGATTCAACTAGATCTTCAGCAAGTTCGTGAACGTCAACAAGAAGTTTATTAAAACCTTCATCTGATCTCAATGTCGAAAAATAATTTATTAAATTATTTAAATAATCTATACTAATTTTTATATTTATTTCCGGATTTTGCAAAGTATTGCTAATCGAATCTATTTTGAACAAAATGTTATACCAAATAATTATTGAACATAAAAATGTGAAATTTTTAATTTTTGAAGCTAACGAACGTGCTTGATGTGAACTATTTAAATCGTTTGAGGAAGAGCTGTTTTCCATTTTGATAACGTAAAGGTTTCATCGCATCAATTCTACATGACCAACGTGTTTCACTCAACGGCTTTAAATTTATTCCCGTTCCCGAAATATGCGATTTCAGTACAGCCCATTTTTTTGTCGATGCTGCAAAAAATACATAAAGTTCTTGAACGATATAAAAAAAATCTGATGTGTCCAACACATGACTTTCCTATCTAGTTAGTATAGACTTCTATAAATGTTTAGAGTATAAACTAAATATATACATTTTCCACATACATCTAACTCGAAACATTTTTCTATAGATATTCATTGAAAACGAAAATACTGAAAAATTTAAATTTAGCACTTTTCCTCCAATTTTTCCATTACGGTTCATTTTAGAAAAATCATGTAAAAACAAAAATTATGAAATCGATATCGCAAACAACTTTTAATTTAACAATTTTCTTAAAAATCAGAATTTCATACATTTTGTCAAATTTCACGAATACGGACCATTTCAGGAAAATTTGACGTATAACAAAAATTATAAATAATAATATTAAAAATTACTTTTATTGAAACAATTTTCTTCTCCAAACATAAATAACAGATATATTCCATAAAATATAAAAACGGTCTCCCAAAATCTAATAATTTCACGTCAGGCCGAAATAAAACTTTAATGTTTTTTTCTTCATCCGTTTTTGAGTTTTCTTCAAAATTCGAAATATACACATTTTCTCAAATATCTCAAAAACGGTCCATTTTAAAGAAATTATGTATAATACAAAAATTATAGAGAATTATATTTATAAAAAACCTTTATCCAAACAATTTTTATAAAAAATTATTTTTTTTTACATTTTGTCAAAATTCTCGAACACGGACCATTTTAGGAAAATTTTGTACATAACAGAAAATATTGATAATAATATTGTAAGTAATTTTTATTTAAAGAATTTTCTTCTCCAACCGTAAATAACAGATATATTCCATAAAATATAAAATTTACCACCCATTAAGTACCCCCCCAGAGGTTTCGTCTCTGCCCAAAATCTAATCAGTTCATTGGATGTTGGAATAAAGTTTAGGTTTAAAATTTGGTGTTTTTCTTTTAATCGGTTCATGAGTTATGGTGGAGACACACACACACACACACACACACACACACACACACACACACACACACACACACACACACACACACACACACACACACACACACACACACACACACACACACACACACACACACACACACACACACACACACACACACACACACACACACACACACACACACACACACACACACACACACACACACACACACACACACACACACACACACACACACACACACACACACACACACACACACACACACACACACACACACACACACACACACACACACACACACACACACACACACACACACACACACACACACACACACACACACACACACACACACACACACACACACACACACACACACACACACACACACACACACACACACACACACACACACACACACACACACACACACACACACACACACACACACACACACACACACACACACACACACACACACACACACACACACACACACACACACACACACACACACACACACACACACACACACACACATACACACACACACACACACACACACACACACACACACACACACACACACACACACACACACACACACACACACATCTGTATACAGATAGGAAAGTAAAAAACCTGATATTTCAAAAGAAATCTTTGCACCATCGTTAACGACTAAATTTAAGGTATGTGCTGAACAAGGTACAAAAAACGCTCTAGGATTCAAGAATATTTTTTTTTGCAATCCATTATGAATTCCCCACACTTTTGCACCGTTATCATAACCGTGTCCACGCATGTCATAAAAATTTCAATTTATTTTCTGTAATAAGTTTATTAAATATTTACTCAAACCTTCTCCGGTTGAATCTGTTATAGGACGAAATTCTATAAAATGCTCACGCAATTCAACTTTTTCTTGTTGATTCGTTTGAATTTACAAATCTAATAATGAGACTCATTTGTTCAACATGGCTTACATCCTGCGTACAATCAAGCATAATTAAATAGTATTTATTTTTTCTAACTATATCCAAAATATTTTTTCGAATTTTAGAACTAATTAAACCTAGAAGTTCATTTTGAATTTTATTTCCTAAATAGTTAGGCATTGCCTTGTCACTTTTTTGGGCTTTTTGTGTTCGGCTAACATGTTCTTGCATTACAGAGTCAAATTTTGCAATCATTTCAATAGCTTTAAGGAAGTTACCATTATTATTTTCATATAATTTATTACACGGACCACGTAAAGCAAGGCATTGCCTAGATAAAAACTGTATAACACAAATAATTCTTTCAATAACACCATACCAATATTTTTTTTCTACTTCAATTAAACGTAACTCTTTTTGATTTATCGTACATTGTTTGGATAACATATTTAACAAATTAAACCAAGATTTGACGTTCTCGTTATGAAAAACACCTTTCTCGTGTCTTGATAAAATTTGTGTCAAACGTTGCCAATCAGAACATCCCTGTTTACAAGATAAATTTGTTGTTGAACTAGAACTAGAACTAGAGATTTTGCCAAAGATTTTACAGCAAAAGCAGTAAATCGAATTTTTAGATTCAGAATAGATTAACCACCTCCTTTTAGTTCTTTCGCCGTTTGGAAGTTGACGGTAATAATAATTTTTAGAAAACTTACGCCCACCTTCACTTATTGGAAAGTTCTCAAGAATTACTTGAGAGGGTCCTTTTTCAACTAAAGTTCTTGCAGAGCCAGCAGTTATAATGTCTGGCCATTGCCCAGGATCTTCAGATAACATTTGCGTTTTTAACTCAAAATACATTAAGAAAATATTTATTTTTTTGTAATTAGTGTAAATTTTATCTACGCCTAAAATTGTACTTTTATTTAGACTGCAATTTGTGTCTTTTTGTACGTAGCAGGTAACCTAAAACTTTAGACTGCAATGCGGCATTTGTAAAAATTCGTACTGCGGTTTACCGGCATCGTATTAAATATATATGGATGTCTCTTTCTTCTCGAAAGTTCAGGTAGGTATATTAATTCTCTAAACAATATTTTTTTTAAAAAAAGGTAAGCATTATCATATTTCTTCTAGTTTTGACAGAAAACATTTAAAACTATTGTCCTAAGTTTGCAGTTCTAAAAAAATTATAGTCTACATCTTAATTTTAATAATATAAATATTACATTCAAAACATGAGAAGTTTATTTAATTTACCAAGGGTAGCAATATTGTGTGTTACCTAGAACATTACTCCCACTAGTATTCAATTTCAACTTATCGATCCAATTATCTACCACAATTAATTATTATTAACTACACCACTGCTTGGCCGTTCTTCGACCTCACAGCCCCTATAGTTCTCCCCCGTCACTTAGCAACCGGACTCTGTTTGTAAGTTACGTTGCTAAGCAACCTACAACAACGATTTGATCAAACTTACATTACATCAAATGTTTAATGTCACTAACTTGACATAGATGAATTTTAACTTTTTCTGAATTAAATTTACAAAAACAAACTTGAAATGGACTGGAAATATATTCTTTCGCTCAACGTAGAAGACGTGAACGATGACGAAAAAGATGAGCTGTATAATAGTGTCACGTGGTTTGATTGTGAGGGTGCAAATTTGGATGAAAATAAATATAAGGCACTTGTAAGGTAAAAAAAGAATCTGTTGTTAAAGAGATATTGGTGATTAATTACAGGTAGTAGTAAATCGTAGGATTATAAAACGGTTTTTTTTTTTGAAAATACTTAATGAGGGTGGCGTTCACACCTGTTCATAAAATATTGTGTACCTACACACTCATAAATTAACATGCAAATGGTAGCACATAGGTGTTAATTAGTGTTTGGCTAATTATTTATATTATGCGGTGGTTTTATAATTAAAAGAATACATTAGAAGATTACGAAAGTATTTATTCATTAATCATATCAATGACCACCCGACACTTTTAAAATCTCTTCTCTAACTGTTTAGCCTTTTACATCTAAAGTGATAGAAATACCCCAAGTTCTCAGAGAAAAGAGTATCGCATTTTTACTTTTAAGGAAAGTATAGGAATCATGATTTTTTCGACCTCGAGTTTTCGACGGATTTTTACGTTTAATGTCAATTGTGCCACATTCCATATTCAGTTCGTTTAGCAATCCCTGTAAATAAACTATTTCTTTTGCCCCCTCACACAAAGCCATATACTCTGCCTCAGTAGAACTAAGCGCCACACTTCTTTGCTTCCTAGACTGCCAACTGATTGCAGATCCGGCAAACTTAATCACAAAACCTGTGATCTTCTATCTTCAATACAGTTGCTCCAGTCAGCATCAATGAACCCTTGTATGGGTTTTCCTGTTTTACGAAAACAAAATGAATAGTCCATGGTACCTTTTAAATACCTAAGTACTCTTTTTGCGGAAATCCAATGCTCTTTTCCATAAAAATTATTAAATTGACTTAGGAAACTCGTTGAAAAAGTGATATCAGGACGAGTACACATTTAGGTTAGAGCTATATAATCTAATGACTAATTACTACTTTGTGTTTTATTTATTCGTTTACTAGATATAAATGATTGTCATTGTATTGATTGATTTTTAGTAATAAAAAATATATACTGTCACGAAAATCAAATCTATTTTATTTGTTCTGGTTTATGATACACATAAAACTAAATATTGCTTAAATCTGCTTTGCTGCAAGCGTGTGCGTGTGCGTGTGCGTGTGCGCGTGTGTGTGTGTGTAATTAAATTTAACATTAGTTAAATTGAATATGTTAAATTAGTTTTGTGACAAATTTTATAATATAAATTTAAACAATTTGACTTTGGTGTCTTGGCAGGATGTCTTAGTCTAGACATAGTAATTGGTAAAAGATGCTTATTGCGTCCAATTAGAGGTACTTAGATTACATGCAACATTTTCAGAAGCGTATTCCTTTTTTGTCTTTTACTTGGAACTTTTCAATTTATTTAAAACATTGGACTTTGTTATTTTTTATATATATCGACATAACCGCACATAAATAAAATATTGTCCAAAATCCTTAAATACTTTTTATCACCTTCATCCAAAAATTGTATTTGTACGGTTTTGTCAATTGAAATAAATTTTCATTATTATGTTTAATTTTTTATGTCTTTTATCATGAATTGTTATTTTTAAATAAATAAAGATATGTTTTTAACTTTAATAGGTAGGTGATACATAGTAGAGGCCACGTGCCGCATCGAAAAGAAGTCGTAGAGAGCGTATCTGCATAGCATTAAAAATTGACTAATTCATTAAATTGTCACTAGATGGCGCCCGAGATTGCATCCAACACTTTTTACTGTAGCATTATCCTACTACAATATCTTCATACAACGCTAACCATAGGGTCACAGGGTACTGTATATATGGGTATTAATGTTCCCGCAGTGATCTGAGTAAAAATATTTTTGCCAGCATATCCTGTCCTGATTTTTCCGAACTTAAATTTTATGTACCTACTATATCTGAATTTTCCGTTTTTGAAAGTGAATTTTTTATATTTAAAAATTTTAACTCCAGATTTAGAGCACCAAAAAGTGAGATAAAATAACTTTTTTTACGATCACTATCCAAAGTAGGCTTTTGCGCTTCGAAATTCGACCGCATAGTTGACGTTTTCCGCGAAGTGAGCGACAAAGTTAACAGCTTCGTTACTCGCCTAATTAGCCATAATATTTCTTTTTAATGAATTATTTGTACGTAGTTATATATTTTTGTTATATTATCGAAGTTAACATAGACTTGAATATCAACTGCTTTTTCATGATTAACGTAGGTATAGGCAACACATTCTATTACGATAAATTTTCAGTATTTATATCTACTTCTTAAAATATTGTGATCATAGAAAAAACCTTGTGTGCAATATGAGTAAAAAGTTCGATGTCGCTTTTAACCGTCAACTTTCTGTATCAATCGACAAAGTTTCACTTTTCGCTCTTAATACACAAAAGATAACTATTGTAGTCACTCTATAAACTCAATAATCGTATTATGTAGCATGTCATGTGTTTTTGACATAAAATTTGATACTAACATGCATTCCCAACTGCTTTGTTTTAAACTTTTTATTACTTTTTTATTAATCAATTATTTTTTCATGCAAATTTATGCATAAATGAACCTTTCCACTTTTTTATTTCTTTTATAACTGCTGTTTTTATACTAGGAAGCTTATATGTTGTTAAAATTTAATTATATCTACGAGCAAATTATCAATTAGATCCTTACAAAAATATGTGGATTAAAGGAAGTATGGAAAATTTATCATGGACCAAACTAGTAACACATAAAATAAATTACTAGCGGTCATTTTGTTACGGGACGGTCATGAGTTCAATTATCCCTATATGGAGTAGAATTTTTCATATTTACTTTCTTTTATCATAATACTTCTAAGTATAAAAAATACGAATAGAAAAACCAGTATCATATGGAATAAATTTCTTTTTGTTTAGAATAATTTTCTCATTGAAAGATATTTAACGAAAATTTGATTTTGTTTAAATATAGTATTTACGAAACAAATTCTTTTAGGATTTGTCAAGAAATTTTAAAATACAAAGGAGAGCAAGTGGAGACTCTGCTCCATGAATTAGAGGAAATGGCTGTAAAACAGGTTGAAGACGAAGCAAGGAGACATGGGTCTGAGGCAGATTTGAGAAGTTCTAGGTCGAAAAAATCAAGTTCAATGGAATATGAAAGTAAATTAAATATACATTGTTACTGGTATTTTACAACTATATTCATAGTAGTAGATTATAAGGGGGAATCCATTAATTACGTGAGGTATTTTTGAGGATTTTTTCACCCCCTTCCCCCTGGTGAGATTTCGTAAGATTTTCCTCAACTCCCTCCCCCCTCCCCTAATCTCACATGAGATTTTTCAAAATTTGTGTTTTGGGTGTAAACGCGTTGGATTATTAAAAAAAAAACAATATGTTCTTATTACTTGTATTTAGGACTAGCAAAGACTAGTATTTGAGAATATTGCCGTAATTTAAAATCACAGTGATAAAAATAAATAATAAATACTTAAACGAAAATTCACTTTAATTTAACTTTACCTTACTTTCACGCAATTTTACACCGTTTCCTACTAGAAAAAAAATTACGTCAAATTTACAAAGACTCCGTCTCCCCCTTGAACACCTCGCGTAATGAATGGACGCTCCCTAAGAATTGATATTAGAATTTAACCAATTTATTTGGTTTATTATTTTTTGTAGATTTGGAACAAAAATATTTGGAAACAAAAGCAAAGCTTAAAAAAGCAAATAAAATTAACGAAAAACAAGAAGCAGAAATGAATAAGGTAAATAACCGTCAATTATCACTGATGCTTTAAAAAAGTTAAGATTGATCTTTAAGAAAGAGGGGGAAATAAGTAAATCATTCAATATAACCTTCTGGGCCTCAATTCTCGACATTTTTTCCCATGGGAAAAAGATAATTTTCCTATGGGAAATTTTGTTCTGTATTTTAGACACATCCACTAAGAATATTTTCTTATGAAAAATATGACAGCAAATACACTTGATATTTGGCATGGGAAATCAAATTTACAATAGGAGTATTGGTAATGGATTCTACTGAATCAAAATTAATCTGTCCTCAGTGACATTTGCTATTTTCTTGTTACTTTAAATAATAATATTAATCAAGGGTAACATACCAAGACCTTGATAATAGTCGGCTATTTTTGTTGAATCTAAATCTCGAGAACATTTTAATATCAATTTGATGAGACATAATTTTAGGTATTAATAATCAATTGATTATTAATGCCAAAATTATGTAGAATCAAATTGTAAAATGTTCGAGAAATTTAGCAACAACAAAAATAGCAAAATATTCAAAGTCGTGTTATGTTTGGAACGACTATTTCACTAGACCAAATATTGACTATTTCTCCAGACAAATAGTCGCTAATATTTGGTCTAGGGAGATAGTCTTCTCTAATTTAACCATATAGAAGATATTTTTGGACTAAGTGGAAAAATAAGGTAGAAGATCCCTTTGAATCTTTATATGAAACCAAATATTTAAAATTATTTAGACTATCAAAAGAGGCGTCCTCTGATCTACTTGCAGATGGAAACAATAAATCCCCACGATACGCAGACTAACAGTGAGTTCCTGGGCATGCAGCTGACTGACGGTGACGTCACGTGGGACATAGAATTATTAGCATTAAATGGGAGACAGTGTTTGAAATTCGATATTTCGCCGGTTTAAGATTTTATTTAGTTACTTAAGCTTTTTGGTTATTTTGTAATATATTCTTTTACAAATATAAACATTTAAAGTAAATAATACTTATAAAAAATATTAATTTTTCTCATAATTTATAGGTATTTTGTGACAAAATCCATAAACCTGGCCATTATATAAGTAAAGAATATAGACTAAAAATACAAGTATGACTCAAATTTGTACATTCTGGGCGTGGTAATTCTCTTAAAATCCCTTTTCTTATTTTGTGAAATAAAAATCAAGTGTGCAGAAACAAAATTATTTATTTATTTATTTATAAAAGGTAAATATTACAAAAAATTTCCTTTTATTTGGTATATTTAAACATATTTTTTTATCAAGTTTACTTTCAAAATACTCAAAACCAATTTTTCTGTTTATGTATGTTATTCTTATATATTGTTACGCAGCACCCTGTAGCGTGCTGCGGCCGTCATAAGTAAAGGTACGAGTAAATAAAGAAGATAGAATAATCCAGAAATGTCTCGAAATGTCATTCCTTATCAAAGAAAAGTCCGGATTGTTCGAGAAGGTTCTACAAGGTCGAGGCAAGTCAACGACCTGACGTCAGAGTGGCAGTTTTATGATAGACGTTACATGTTAAGGGAGATAAAGATAGGAAACGCCCATAAGAAGCCAATGCTTAACAACGACCAGCTTTATCGCAGTTTAACATCTGACCCACTATGTGGCGCTTTCATCGATATTAAACAATGCAGCGGGAAATTTAAAAACCTGATATAGGTTGCATAAATATCGACTGCACTCTCATGTTCTTGTAAATAAACTTAAACAATGTAATTACGCTAAATTATTTATTAAAAAAAATACTACACTTACAGTCTATTATCGATTAATTATTGTAAATCTATATTCATGATAAATATTTTTTAATTTTTGATTGTTATTTGTAACACTGCATTTTTGTTTTTATTTTGGTAACTTATTTAAAAATGTTCAGTGCAAATTCAATAATGGGAATTCAGATATTTTTTTTCCTATATAAAATCTTCTTTCTAACGTATTGAAGCCATTTTCTTGTTCTAAAACAATAAATAATACATAAACACCTACTTTGTGACAAAAGTTGATTACTATTTGTGTTACTTACATGAATAGATCTTACCTACTTTGGTTAATTAAAGAACGCCACATTGGGGTTGTTAAATTTTTTCATGTGGCATGTGTTACTAATGCAATACGTTTTCCGACTTATTGTAATATTACAAAATATAATTATTGTCCTTAAAGTTTACACAAAAACAGCCACAACTATTTCGTTTAGTTCATATCTAGAGAATAACACAATAATGAACTCAAAATTTAAATTCAGGATTCTTCGGTATACATAAAACTGACATTTATATTTACAAATACAAACTGTCCACTGCTGTCCACGTCTACTATCTGTCTCAGTGTTGCCAACCGTACGATTTAAATCATATTTATACGATTTTTTAACTCTCTGTAGGATGTAAGATTGCATCAGTGAGATCGTACGTAAAAATAAGATCTTCACTTTTTTAGTAGGTTTATTTAAATATCTCCAACAACTCCAGAACATAAAACAATTAAAATTAAAAACTACTTGCAAAGATTCATAGGCCGTTCGTAATTTCTGAAGGCAGTCATTTATCATGATTTTGACCATGGTGATTTTGTACACCGACTATCACGGCATAAGAAAAGCTTGCATGCAAAATTTCAATCACTTTCAAGTGACAGTCATTGATTACTTTAAATGTGTCAATTTAAAGTTTCATGTATTTTCTTTAGTTTTTTTTTTATAAATAGATAAATAAATTATCATGCCAAAGTTTTTTTTTTCATTTCATTTAAGTTATATTATGCTATGCATGTATCTATTGTACAATTTTTTTGTCGAAATACCTTTTTTCTACTCTACTTATACGATCTCTCAAAAAAAATATTTGGCAACACTCTACAAACGACGTAGACCTGTAGTTAACATCTGAGACGCTAGATGACGCCATCGTTGCTGCGGTCGTTGCGTTTCCAATCTTTATGTCCCTAATCTCTGATGTTAATGTAATCAGTTAGAGTTATTGTATCAGTTGAATTGAGATATTGTAAAAGTTGAATTAAAATAAATTGTGATACCAAAACCCAGCGTAACAATATGTTCGTGTCCTGCTCATGCATAGTATTATTCAAAAGGGACCGTTGTATTGGGACATGAAACTACAGTCCCATTTATTTTCTTTGCTTAATGAGACCCCTTGCACCTGGTGGAATTCAGTTTCCTTTTTTCGCGTCTATGTTTAAGAGGATTCTCACAGCTACTTTCCTCAAAGTGGATAGAGCAACTAGAAAAAATATTTTTTATTTTAGCAACTTTTCATTGTCTCCAAACCTATTATACTTGTCCATTTTACTAACCATTGTTTAAATTACGCATTACGTCACTGTGCGGTTTGGAGGAAATTTGAATCGTAAGTCAGCATACCGTTAGTATGTGTATCGTGATAAACCCCATATTTTTTTTTTTTTTTTTTAGTCTCCGACATATTTTTTCTTTATATTCATCGTTGTATCGATTACCACAATTATTTTTTTTAACGCTAGAAAAAACAAGAATCCAAAATTGACATTATTTAGTATCATTAACAAAAGAAGAATCAATGTTCCCAACACAACAACTTGAAAGTATTGAAATATCTTGATTATTATTGGCCAGTTTCGAATATTTTGGTATTTATTATCAGATATACGTTTGATATATGAATAATCAAAATTCCCATAGGAATTACATTCCTAACCTAGTGGAGAATACCGTTTTAAAATACTTCTGGAAAATAAGCAGTGGAATTCTTACCCATGACAAATGTTCCCGTGAAGTCGAGAATCGAGACCATGATGGTAGAGGCCGTGCTTAGCAGGTTTACTTCTGTGTATCAATATCTATAATTAAGTAAGACCTTGCGCGGTTGGTACTTGCATGAGTGACCATTTTAGAGAAAAAGCTCACTAGCGCGACACATAGCTAGGCTTCGCGCGCGGCAAGAGTGCAGAGTGCAGATGTATTTAAATGGCCCAAAGCCCATTACCGCGATTCTGTCGCGTGGTCGCACGCGGCTATAAAATAGGAATGACAAGCCCGCTCTTATCTTGCCGCACGCGGCCAGTGGTAATATGGTGATATAGCAAACCCCCAGTATATCAATTTTTTAATAAATTTGCCAAGACTCTTAAAAAGGGGTGGTTCGGTTCTAAAAATTTACAATAGTGGCTCGGTAGTTATCTAACAAATAGGACTCAACAGGTTCGAGTAAATCATCATTATTCCCAAATTTTCCCAGTTACTTCGGGTGTTCCACAAGGGTCTCACTTAGGACCGCTACTATCATAACTTGCTTTCCTAACACTAAAGCCCTATTGTTTGCAGATGACTTGAAATGCTTCAAGATCATTCATGACTATGCCGACACTCAGATTTTGCAGTTGGATTTAAATAAACTAGAAAGTTGGTGCTCTAGTAATGGCATGGATCTAAATACTAACAAATGTCACATTATCCGATTTTGTCGCAGCCATAATTTAATAACTTATAATTATAGTTTATTTCAACATGTTTTGGACCATGTCGATCAAATCAAGGATCTAGGGATCACCTTTGACTCTTCCATGAGCTTTAATGGTCATATCTCTGCTACAGTTCAAAAATCAATGAAAATGCTGGGCTTTGTAAAGAGGACAACTCAAGACTTCACTAATATAAACACAATTAAAATGCTATACTTCTCTTTAGTTAGGACACAACTTGATTATTGCTCCTCAGTCTGGTTCCCACACTACTTAATTCATAAAAGTAAACTGGATGGAGTTCAAAATAATTTTCTTAGATACATAGCATTCAAGTTTAACATTTATTACAATTATGCGGAATTGCAACAATATTTAAACATACCTTCTCTGGAAGTTCGTAGGAAACGAAAAGATCTTACCATACTGTCCAATATTATCAATGGCAGGTGTAATTGCCCCGACCTCCTTTCCAGAAATAATCTTTTTGTGCCGTCACGTACTACTAGACAAATTCAAACATTCCATGTACCTTTTCACCGTTACAATTATGCGTTTAATACTTTTATTCCTAGAACACTTAGACTAGCTAACTCTCTTCATGATATTCGACTTTTTAACAGTTCTGTTCAAGGATTTAAGAACCACTTACTTACATTGAATATTTGAACGTCTCAAGCAATTCCATAAATTTCATTTAACACATTATAATTTATTTGCTGTTCTGTACATTAATGTCCACTGTTTTATTTAACCATTTTATTCTATATTTTACTTAATTTTTATGATATCACTATTCTATTTTATTGTATTTTTTATTTTTATATTGTATTTTATTGTATGTAAACTGAATTGGGCTTTGCCCGTAAATAAATAAATAAATAAATATAAAATTAAAAACCAAATTATAATAAACTTAAAAAAAAATTTGAATGTTTCTTCTTAGGGGACCTGCTTTTCCTACTTCTACTGCTTCTTCTGTTTCTCCTACTCCTGCTCGTTCTCTGTACTCCAACCTGCTACTTCTGTTATTTGCTACACTTTCCTCTTACATTAAAATTAAAACTTCTCACTATCTTTCTTTATGTTTAACTCCTTGTCTCCTCTGCTCACTGTCTACTTTTTTGGACTGCTGGTTTCCTCTGTCTGCCTCGATTCCTTTCACTGCTCTATCTGTTCTCTAAACAATTTCCTTCCAAATTCCAAAATTGCAAATATCCAAAATTTTGATCTCCCTCTAAAAATAATGCTCCAGGTTGGCTGGCGACACTTGATATAGAAACCCCCTGTATATCAATTTTTTAATAAATTTGCCCAGACTCTTAAAAAGGGGTGGTTCGGCTCTTTTTGTATATTCTGGTTTAATTTATCTTTTTCAAAACAAATTCAACATATTATCCAAAAAAGCTTTTTGACAATCTCCCATTTTTATTGACAATCTTCTTAAAATCAACAAAAACCCCGACATTTTGATTTTCACTTTAATTTTGATTTCCAGACACTTCACCACCCCAGTATTGCTCAATTTAGATAATAAATTTTATGACGTCAGGAATTTCTATATCAATGGATACATATGGAACATCACTCATTACAAACGTCGATAGTGTTCCTGTTGGTTATTCTACAGTTCCACAGTTTTAAAATGACCTCTGACTATGTCAATGATTAAGATGCATTTATATACCTTGTGTTGCATGACGTGCTGTACAGACTTAAATACCATATTCCTGAGCTCATTTCAATCAGAAAATGTTCTATGAACAAATATCCAATTCCGAGCTACAATCATTTAAAAATTAGAAGATATATTAACGTAGTATGTCAAGTTTTTAACATTTTTGGTCGTTTGTTTATCAACAATTATGAACGTCTGTTGACTAGTCAGACCTACACTTATAACTTGTATTTTGTTTGTGATAAATTAAAATTTCTTTGTTGTTTTCGAATAAAGAATATGCCGACAAGTTTTCAATCACTAAATGTTCAGTGCTGTATTTCGACATATTTGAACACATGGCATACTGCGTTAATTTATCTTCTGATCTTTGAACACTTGTAGCTCGGTAACCATTAAGAATTGGATATTTGTTTATAGGACATCTCTTGCTTGAAATGAACTCAGGAATATGCCCAATTTAACAGGTCGTTCTATAAATAAATAATGAATTCAATACCTACGTTTCACTTTTTTTCCGATAACGTACATATTAAACAACACCGCTGTTACTTCCATTTCTATTTTGTACTTGAACGTCTGTGTCGCTGCTTGTCGGCTGTTTAAAATCGCAGTTAAAAAACCGCGTGCGGCAGGTCGCGTGCGACATGTCGCGTGAGTAGGTTTTCTTCCTTAAGGAAGCTTCCATTAGGTTAGTTTTTCTATATGAAATGGCGAATATTGTTTTGCAGTAGCTAATTGATAATTTTGGTAATATGGCGCAGTCAGCAAATTTAAACGAATTATCCTAAATTTATAATTATTTCTGGTTGTAATATTGGTTTATCATTGATTATTATTTTTAAAATTGTATCTGTAACTACAAGATATGAAATGTGTTTTTCAGTTGAATAATAAATTGAAACTTTTGGAACAAGAAAACCGTCGTCTCCAAAACGAAATCCAATCCAGACCCAATGATATTGGTGGCAGTGAATCTGATATATCGGAGAGTATCAAAGACAAAAAGAAGGAATTAGTGGAAACATTACACAACAAAAATTTACAGATATCTGATTTGCTGCGTGACATAGAAGTACGTATTATACCAGTTTAAAATTCAAAATTTACGCTATTAAAGGAATAAAGTAATAAATTATAAAATGAATTGATTTTAGGAGGTTGAAAAAGAAAATTCCGTTTTGAGAGACAAATTATCAAAAGTAAGAGATGAATTATCCGTCGCTACAGAGGAGATTTTATCGTTGACGGATTTATTAAAAGAAAAAGAATCGGTAATTGCAGAAAATAATGGTATGTACCTTGGCTATATAAAAGAGGAGTGCAGTAATAGTAAGCATATAACGTCACATTCCATAGGCGTACTTTGCAAAATAAGTTTCTATAATATTAAGAAGGTAACGGTATATAAAATGGTATATACGCACTTCGTTGATAAAATTTTGAATGAAGAAAAAATAAAAATAAATCTCATGCTTCTAACAAAATTGTTGCACTTTAATGAACGAATTAAATTTAACCAATAAATAGCAAGTAGGATTATATGTTGCTAATAGAATTAAACATTTTTTAATCTATTGGCATTAAAAGTACCTAAAAATAAAGATTAAAATAAATAAGTTCAAGAACTATCTTTAAAAGCCATTGTCTTCACTATAAATACTGGTATCATTATTATTGTCTTTTATGAGATATTGACTCCTTTATTCGTCTGTGATAGGATGAATTATCCAAAACAATAACGGAGTTGGCTAGAATTTTTTTTATAATGTTCTGAAACCAATTTTCAAACATAGGGCAATCCATTTCTGTATGGTAGTTTTTTGTTTTCTTTGACTCAAACATTAATTAACCATCTGGCAAAAAACCATCGATGTTTCTAAGGTGGGTTATTATTAAACGATATTCTTTTTCTGTTGTATATTGTAATCCACAAGAGACCCCTTCCATAAAAGCTGTTTTTTAGTTTTGATAAAGATATCTTGCCAAATTTTTGCTAATGTATGTTCAGCATTAGCCCGTGTTAAATTACATAAAATAGTGGTTTATGCTGATTACTTGTGTCCGCTATTTTCCTTAAATATTCATGTCTCTTAGCAATGATTTCGCCTTTCTCTGTTAAACAGCTGTTTCTGTTACGTTTTTGTAACAAAACTTTAATTCTTGTAATAATTGTGCAGATGAAAATTATATTTGGAAGAGTGAGGCTATTTTCTATTTCTGAGTGTAATTTTTTAAATGTAGAAATTTTATTTGGGAAAAAAAATGTACAATTTGCCTTATTACATTCTTCACCCAAGTTACAATAAAGGTCTTGTTTCTTCCTGGGAGTTTTTTCGGATGTACTTCTCCAATAACTATCTTCATAATAATGTTATGCACTTTTCGCTTAGATAATCCAGTATAGGTCTCACATTTAGTGGCTATTTCATCCACAGAAAGTGGAACAAATTCTTTTTGTCGAAGATTATTAAATACATTAGGTATGATATTTTCTTCTAAAGATGGTTTATGACCACTCGTACTTATGCTTGCAATATTTTCTAATGCACCCGCCATTCTTATATAACTGTAAAATTATAATATTTCGTTACCTTAATATGTCAACCATACGTAATAATTTTACAAGAAAAGCAAAAAACCGTTTCGTTTAAAAATTAGAAGAAAAAAATAATTGGATCATTAGGTCTTTATTTAAAGAAATCTTTTAATAATGACCTAAATAATTTGTTTCTTCTAATATCTAAAAGAAACGGTTTTCTGCTTCTCCTGTAAATTTATTACGTATGGAGTTAGAAGGTTTACATGTTAAGGTAACGATATACTAATACAAAATTCCGAAGCAATTAAAATACATACGATACGGCTTTGAGTAAGTAAAGTTTGACTTATCTGTCAAAAGAAAAGGTTTATTACAGTAAAAACCATGATTAAATCTAAACGAAAACTTTTATTATGCCGATCAGATGTATTTTCATTTTAACTACAAGTAAGCATTGATGGTTGAGGTATGAATAAAATGTCTACCTCTTGAACCTGTACTACGTTAAGCAAATTAAATTACTGCACTCCTTTCTTCTCTAGACCATAAAGAAATATTCTTTCATTTGTACGTTTCTATGTATTTACACCGTTTTTTTTTAGAAAGATTGAACAAAATCACATCGGAAATTGATATTTTACGAAATAATTTTGAATCTTTACAAAAAGAGAAAGAAACTTTGGAAGAAGAAACAAACAAAACTGTAGAAGATTTAACTAAAAAAAATAATGATATGCAGGTAATGTAATTTCTAACACAGGTTAATTCTTTTAGTAAAGTTGTGCTGAAATCGAATAAAAAATATGATTTACTAAATAACCATTGCCATTGGTCATTGGTATCCATCTATTTTGTATTATTTACCAGGTGTTATTTAGATTAATGAACAATCTGAGTAGTTATGAACTACTATTCTGTTCAATTCTGCATAAGTGAAAGTTTCTTCTAATTCTTGCTAAATTCCCCTACATTTATAGCCCAACCTCTACAACTTTTTGTGTGCATTTCCGGTTTACTATTTGGCTCTTTTCGCTTCGCGCTTTTGTCTTACGAGATTTTATCTTAGTTGGGAATGCATACTGTATGTATTTCTAACACCATCATGTTCAAACCGCTGCCATAGAAACAATTTCATTAAATACATAAATAAATTATTAACGAGCTTAATCTTGTGCTTTGAATGGCAGATGGCAAGCCACGTTTTCTTATAGTACAACAAAAAATATCTGCACTAATGGTCTTCCCACATTTAAAAATATCCTTCGGTACCAGAAAACTGTACGCCTTATGCTTTTACGCAACGTGTTGCTTAAACTTTTTTAATTTTGGAGAAATTAATGTTATTTTGCTTTAAATTTTGTCTAGAGAATTCAGCTCTTATCCCTAATTTTGAAATGTGTCAAATCATGTCCATTCTAAAATTGTTCAAATATCCGTAATGCGCATGCGGTTTAGTACCTATAAACATCGCATTTTTGATTAGGTAGGCATGTTATAGTAGCGTTGCACTGGTGGAGAGTTCAGTGGTTAGTGGTTATACACACATTTCGATATTAACAATTTTTTTTACCAACTTATTATATTCCTTATCATTGGCACCCATAGTATATAGAGGTCATTAAAACATTTTTTGACTGACTTTTTTATGTACGTCCAGAATGAATTAATTTCTAAAGAAGAGGAAATACAAAATTTAAAAACTCGTCTAAAAGAACCAAGTTTAAATTCATCTCTGTCCAGTTTACCCAAAGACGAACCAGAAAAGGAACATATGCCAGCTCTATCTCACTTGGCGGCTCTCCAAAGGGCGTTAAATGACAGAGAAGCACAATTAATGGACGTTCAGAGTCACTTACAAATAGCCACAAAAGAAATGGAAGCGGTAATAAAAATGTATAAATTTTTTGATTATTTTTTAATGCGGCTTGTAAAAAATATTAGGTCACTGCTGTTTTGGCTAAATTGAAGTCGCAAAAGAAGGAAGAAGAAGCCAAAGTAAAGACGTTAATGGAAAATAATTTGGAGTTGAAGAAACAATTAAAAACAGTGCACGAAAGATGTCAAAAGTTACATGACGAATTAAGTTTCGCTGAAGAAACTGTCAGAAGTAAAGACGATGAGGTATAATTAGTTATTGTAAATTTTCTTCTCTGAAGTTCCTTTATTATCTATATTTTTCTAGCTAAAACACATTTTAGAGAAGATTAAAGAAAACGGTCAAATTGATATTGCTGTAAACTTAAATGCCATCAAAGAACTAAAAACAGACAATAGACTGAAGGAAAAACATATTATTAGTTTGGTCAAAGCTACAAATAAATTGCAGGAAACTTGCGATCTATTGGAAAAAGAGAATTCTTCACTTAGGTAGTCAAATTGTATATTATTTTTTATATTATCATCAACGTTAATACTTTCCTAATTTTTTTCATTTCGCCTTTAGGTGATACTTTTTAAATACTCTATTCTAATTTTTTAGAGAATCTTTGGGAATATCACAAGACGACACCGTTAATATCTCTGGTTACACCTCAAAACAAAAGAAGCTTAAGAAAGAAATAGAATATTTAAAACATCAACTTTCAAATAAAGAAGAAACAATTTTACAACTAAAAACAGAAAATCATAAGATTAATAGAACGGCCTTGTCATTAACCAACCAAATCTTAGAACTTGGCCATAAGCCATCATACGAATCAAAACACAAACAAGCTGTATCAGATGATGTTTCTAGGTATTCAAAAGAAGAAATGAAATCGTTAGCTGAAGAGAACGAGGCTTTAAGGAAAGGTCTGCACGAAATTATGGATTCAATCAAAAACAAGAAATCTCAATTGGAAATAAAATCAGAAACGTTTGAACAACTTTTAAGGACTCTGGACGTGAAGCACATCACAGGATGGTATCATCCAGCTATGAGATTGCAAGCTGATCTTCACAATTTAGAAGGGGTAAATTCGGAGCTTAGAGATCAACTTAGACTAGCAAGAAACGAAATTAGATTGAAGAAAATCAAAGATAAGGACGAAAATGATGAAGGTGTTGATGAAAAAGATGAAATAGACACCGTTACAGCAGATTCTGGTATACATTTTGAAGAAACTTTTTCAGAAAATATTGATGATACTGTTAGAAACTTGTTTGCAAAAAAAAGTAATCTTGAGTTCATCCAACGTCAAGTTCTTGTTTGGTTACAACACTCGGCAATTTCCAAAACGAAACTAGAAGAAGATCTCAAATCTTCAGAAGATAAACTAAAAATATTACAAGAAGAACACGACATCGTGTTGGAAAAATTGAAGATATTAATAAGCGAAACTGATGAAGAAAAAGTTAAAAAAATTAACGATATAATAACTACGAATGTTTCGTTGAATAGAAAACTCGTATATTTAGAAAATGAAAGCAAAAAACTTTGTACCAGAATTGAATATTTAGAAAAAGATTTTAACAATGTCGAAAAAAGTTACATGAAGAGCTTGACAGATGCACAAAATAATAACAAACATTTAGAAGCAAGTTTGAAAGTGTTACAAAATTTAAATAGTACCGCTATTAGTTTCGAAGTTTACAAAGAATTAGAAAAGAATTTAAATAATATGACGTTAAAATACCGAGATTTGGTGAGTAGTTTGCAAAAACAAGAAGAAAATAAGTGTTTGCAGCTGAGTATCCTTCTAGAAACACAGAAATCTTTAGAATCCGATAAAAACGACTTGATAAAGAAACTAGAACATCTAAAATCGCAAGAATCTCTGTTTGCGGTTAAAAATTTTACCGAAAAAGAAGAAAAACTGGCTCAAAAGTTGGCCGAAATCGAAATTAAAGAAATCGCCGAAAGACAAAGAGCTAACCACATAAACAACCTATACGAATTGGTGAAGGAACAGTTGAGCAAATCGGAAGAAAAATTTGCGGAATTTTCCAAATTTAACGAAGAATTGCTGAAGAAAAATCTATCTCTCCAAGAACAGTTAAAAGATGTCGAGGAAAAGCTTTGCGATTACATAGACAGGACTGCATACAACCAGTTGGAAAATAGTAACAACGAATTGATTAAAGAACAAGAACATTTTACTATAAAAATCAACGACTTAGAAACGGAGTTGAAGACCGTGAAGCTGGATAAAGATTATGAAAAAACTTGGAACGATTCCAAAGAACAGGAATTATTGAATTTGAAGCATCAAATCGTCGATTTGATTTCAATATCTGACGATAAAGTTATCATAGCCCAATTAAGCGGCGACGTATTGCAAAACAGGAAGTTGGTCGAGTTTTATAAGATCAGTTTAAACGGTTTGAATGAAGAATTGGAGAAAGTTATCGAGAAGAACGACGAGTCCAAAAGAAATTTTGAAAAAGAGAAATGTTTGTTTGATGAAAGAGAGACGGCTATGAAGAAAAAGATTGAGTAAGTTTTTTCTTGTAATTTTAATTTACTATTTTATTTAAATCGTTGGAAAATTTTATTTTTAAGACCTGAAGCCAATTGGCTTGAGGGTGGGAATTATGAAAAATTTGTTTTTTATATATTTTTTTTATTTTTTCATTAACATAGAAAAAATGCCACACTACACACTGCGCCTTGTCAATAGTCAATAAACAAAAATAATTCTAAAAAAATCAAACATGAAAATCGCCATATTTATATTGCTTTTAATTTTTGTTTTTACCAAATTAAACTATTCTCTACGATCCTTCATTGAAATACATTTTCCATGACTTTTTTCGTCGAAATTATTTATCTCCAGAACTAAATTTATATTTACTGATATCATAGCTAAGGAGTTTAGTCTATCATTTACCATAGTGCTTCGTAAAAATTCCGTGGAAAATAAAAAACAACTGTTAAAAAGCCAAACTTGCGCTTGGCCTCGAAAAAATTGCGCCATAAGCTGCAATAAAACAGCCGACTGCAAGATGTACACGTTAGCGCGTGTTCCACTCCGTTTCAATAGTGCGGCCGACGATAGTCCAAACATTGATCTCATAAATTGTTATTATTGGAAGGATTTGGAGGAGACATAATAAATAACACTCATAGCATGTGTTAAGACGATAGGAAACATTATAAAATAAACAAATAAATACTTTTCTGCAACCACTGTAATTAAACAAAATAATTCATCGTTTTTATTTATTTTACATTTAAGATACCATTTCGGAACGCGCGACAGACGACATACGACAGCAGAAGCGACGACAAAGGAGAACAAGAACGGTCTCTTCACGTCTGAACACATGTAATTATATAAAACACATTTCGCAAGGCGCGACCAGTGCGAGATACAGAAGTCGACGAGAGGTAGATCGGGTAGATCGTTTGCTGCTTGTCGTGCTCGGTCCTCAGCAGTGTTGCCAGGTGTACTGATTTTTCAGTAGATCTACTGATTTGGCTATTGGTCTACTGATATCAATGTTAATTCTACTGAAAAAAAAAAGCCGTTTTCATTATTATTTTTTATTATCCGATTTTTATATTTTTTTTTTTTCAAATTAAAAAAATTCAAACGTTACAAAAAATATACGCGTCTTCTGCACCCTTTGGAAAAGCCCTGTCAGCTTTTTCGAACGCAACGTAGCCAACAACCGGCGCGGCAGCCAGCTGTTTTTTATAACTTTCCTTTGAACTTCCAGGGAATCCCCTGCGTGCATTGCTTGTGTTGTGTGTTGTGTCGTTGTGTATTTTGTTTCTAGTTATACATACTATGTAGTCTAAGCTGTGGTATGGTATATAAGAATTAAAAATTGTTGTGATTTTCTAGCTGGTGTTTTGCTGTACAATAAACCAAAGAAATAAGCTTTCCACGGCGAGAATTGTTTGCAATTCTCATGTAAAAACTTACGTTATGAGTAGAAATGCTAATTGCCATATTGTAAAGTTTTTGGATCTTCTAGCGCTTAATAATAATAACATGTGCAAAAAATGATAATGAGTTGACTTCGATTCCGATTAGAATATATTTTGGTAGCGTTTATTGATTGAATTATTTTATTTTTTAATATGTAATATTTATTTTTTATTCTCAGTGATGTCCCATTTCCTATTCAACTATTTTTTAAATAGTAATTATTTTTGTTTGATTTTCTATTGTTAATATGATTTGGTTTTTAATTTTTATCTAACTTTCTAATGAGTCAAATCAGTGTAAAATACGTATAATTAAGATTCACGCTAATCGGAAGAGAAGCCACTGCATCGTTAATTTTTTTGCCCCTTTAATTAGGCAACCCCTTTTCCTACTGATTTCTACTGAATTTTAGATTTTAGTATACTGAAAAAAAAATATTATGACCTGACAACACTAATAATCAGTCACCGCTTGTATTTCGAGGTGATTAGTCTATATTTTATAGAAATGGTAGTTGCAAAGTTCTTTCGATCTAGGCAGTGTTGCCAGATGAAAATTTGCTGGAACAGTATGGGTGAAAAAAAAAACATAAACAGTAGATTTTAATACAGAGGGAAATAATTTGCAGTGAAGTAAAAAAACAAGTATATAAGAAACAAAAAATAAACAGTTTTCTACCCAAATTAGAAAGTAAACAAAGAATAAAAACAAATAATAACATTTTTAATATATACTTAACGTACGGAAACAAAAAAAAAACATAAAAAATAATATATATATATTTCTTTTAGACCAGTCTGAACCAGATGATAATTCAAATACGTTGTGGTTGGCAGTCATGTTCTTTTTATGATGTCCTATTAATTCTTTGTCGCATTTTAAATAAAAACATTGATTATCTTGAGGTTTTTTTTATGGAGCAAACCTATAATAGTGACTGCTTATTAAACTGCTTTTACTTCAGCAAATTTACTAGAGAAAATATTCTTTGACCATCTACTGAAGAATGAGGCAAACTTAATAAATTAAGTTGGCGAAAACCGTAGATTTCATGCCTAAAACAGTGGATCTACTTAAAAACAGTAGGTCTGGCAACACTGATCGTTCTCTCGAATGGTTTTCTGCGGTTGTCGTGTATCCTGTCTCCTTGAAGCGTAACATAAATGCCTTGTTCTCCTTTGCCATCGCTTCTGTTGTCGTCTGTCGCGCGTTTCTAAAGGGTATCTTTATAAAGAAATGTAATGAGGTTGTAAACTTTTGGGGGTTTGGCTCCCTGTTTTCATATCAGCTAAAATTGGTTCTTGTGTGGGCTGTAAATATGCAAGTGGGAATTAACTTCTTGTCCAGGAAATTAAACACAGTACCCACATTTACAATAACTCCTACAAGTATTAGAAATTAAAAATTTAAGAAAACCGACTTCAAAAACGTGCAGATGCCGTCACCACATCTTAACCAATTTTACATGGGACCACCCTTGAGGTACCCCCTTACTAACAAAAAAAGAATCTTAGAAATCGGACAAGATGGTACAGCATTATCGCTAAACATACATAAAAAATGAAGAGTTTGAGGATTTTCCCATGGATCCAATTATTAGATTTTAACCAAATTTATATGGGACCACCCTTGAAGTACATATACGGGTTGGGCAAAATTGGCCCAATTTGCGGCTTAATATGGATAGTATTGAAAATTAACCCGAATAAAGGTTGAAACGCTCGGGGATTTTCATCATCTGTCATATTTACCAAGATATGACGTCATCGGATGAAATTTTAAATGAATCGCCCTATATTTATATATTTTTTCGAATAGATCTTTATTTTTCTGAATCCATCAATTCAGGGTTTAAGGGTCTCTGAGTTCACAATAGAAAGTAAATATTTATTTAATAAAAAAAAATTATATTTATCTTTTGTGTATATTGGGTGTGACCTTCTTCCATCCAGTGAGGATTATGTTATGATCAGATCAATACTGGCAATTATGTTTATTTACAAATCCACTGAGACAAAATGTTAATTCGTCAGATAAAACCATGTTGTTCATTAACATATTATTTCCATTAATGTGAGCCATCATTTTCTGACTTGCATTCGCATGTCTGAGTCATCTCCATTTAATTCTTAGTATAATTGTATTTTATAGGAATGAAATTTTTTGACTTTCGCAATCCTCCTTACAGTTCTCTCGCACATATTATTTTCCAATGTAAGCTTTGGATCTGAAGGTTTTGGTTCTTCCTGTACACTTAGAACCACATTAAGTGCATTTTCTTTATCAGTGGCTGTCCTCTACCGTCCAGATCTTGGATTATTTTTTACACTTCCTGTTTCGTTGAACTTGCTCAAATTTGTGGATGTTGTAGATTTAGAAATCAGGAAAATTCTGTCAGGAAATGTTTCATTAAACAAATGTCTTTATGTCTCCCAATAATCATTAATAGTGTAATTCTCATTTTGTGTGGCTTTTAAATGATTTCAATGTTCTTCTTTATTATAACAATTTTGAATACGTTACCGCGAAACAAATATCTGGTTTACTTCCTAACATCAAGTACATAAGATAACCAATTAACTCTTTGTAAGGTAAATTAGTTTTTAAAGGTTCAAAATTTATATCTATTACTGAATTTAATTTTAACCCCGTATCCCTAGATTTATAGTAAGTTAATATTAAAGTTTTTCAAAATCAATTATTTTTGATTTATAAACAAGCCATCTTTTGTTTTAACAATATTTATTTATTTTTGATTTTGTAGAATTAGACAAATCTCTCATTTCAAAATTTATACTATGAACTTGTTTTAGTATCTTCAGAATCAAATCGTCAACATATACAATAAAAAGAATAAAATCATTAAAATATAAACATTAATCAGTAAGAGATCTTTTAAAACCTGAATTTAGTAAAAACTCATCTAGACGATCATTCCATCGTTTCGGTGCCTGATGCATACTTTATTACTGGTGGTACTTTACAAACCTTCTGGAATTTTCATTTATACCGATTATTTCAGAAGTTCATTTAAGAAAGCGGTCTTGTAATCTAATTGGTTTATATACATCCCTTCTTCATCTGCGATTGAAAGTAGTTTTTGAATAGTTACCATTCCAGCAACGGGCGCTTAAACCTCTTTATTAATTTCGCCTTGAAGAAACCCTCGGGCTACAAGACGAGCCCTTTTTAAATTCTTACCATTATTATCTTATTCTTTAAAAGCCCATTTGGAATCTATAATTTCTTCATTTAGAGGAATAGGTACTATTCCCCACGTTTCATTTCTTTCAAGAGAAAGAAGTTCATGTTTTATAGCTTTTTCCCATCCATCTCCTAAACTTACAGATTTTTGCTGGTGTAGTAATTCCAGTGGAAATAATAACCGTTGGGTATAGAAAAAAGCATATATATTGGTGCTTGGTTTTCATTCTTTTTTATTTCAACTAAGTACTAAGTACTAACTACCTAAATCGGTACTAATTGAAGACACAAGTGGATGAAGGGCCTATGTAGCAAAATAACTTTTACGAGATATTTCGTGTTAAAGTTTTTGGCAGTTATTCCCTAGTACATACGTGCTTTATCCACTGGCAACTTCTATATTTGATGATATGTTGTCACGGAAGACATTTTAAACGAATTTTAGATATATAAGCCCTTCATTCACAGAAAAACACCATTTAAAAAAATATATGTCCTTCATCCACTTTTTATTTAATGCTTTAACATTTCAGGCATTTACAAAACTTGCTGAATCAACAGATACTCCAATTTTACGGATACGTACCTTTAATCTCTGATGAAATATACGTCAACAATGTCATAACAGTCAACAAGCAAAAGCACGAGACTTTTCTGGCTCTACAGAAAACAAAAGAGCTGGAAAATGAAGCTAATATACTTAGGGAAAAGTTACATTTGGAACTGGAATACGCTCAAAAACAAAAGGAAATTGGTACTGATACTTACAAAGACGAATACAAAAAAATGTCGAACTGGATGCAGGAAAAGAAGTCTTTCCAGATAAGCGTAAGATATTGACAGGGTTAGGTTAGGATTTTTGTAGTCAAGGCAAAATCAAAAATGCTATAAAATTTATTATGTTTGAGATTATAAATAGGTACCTATTTTTAGGAACTTCGACTAAAACGCCAATCGGAATTTAAAGAATCCCAGCTGCAACACTACATTGACAGAGTAAGGATCCAAGACGAGCAAATATTGAAACTAGACCAAGAATTATTACAAATATATAAAAATTTCGATACCAATGTACCACAAAAACTCACTAGAACTATCCAAGAAGAACAAGTACAAAACTCTGTAACGTCTGTACCTGTTCCGCTTCCACGAAAAATTACTCGATCGGTGTCAATTCAGGTTAGCGAGCCGGACGCTAAATCCGAACCATCCGAGGAAAAAGGCGTTTTGGTTAACCTCAAATCGGAATTGTTGAGTCTTAGAGAAGAATTGAGTCAAAAACAATCTCAAATAGATCAGTTGAAGAGCAAAATAATCGAACACGAAATGACTATCAGTATGTTTAGAAAACAGATTGGTGATAAGCAAAGTCAGATAAGTTTTTACGAGAGGCATATTATGGAGTTGCAAAATAAGAAGACAGAAGTTACCAATGGTGGCGGAGCCGGTGGGGATAATATCACTGTGAGGAGCGATGGGAATCAAAGTGAAGAAATTTTAATTTTAAAAGTGAGTAATAATTGAATGCAAATTTCCTACAATTAGAGAACAATTTTGGGTCAGCGTATTGGATTTAATTATGGCTTATTACCTTCAAAAATAGCTCAAAAAATACGTTGTCTCTAACTTTCTTTTATTTTACTCTTTAAGGCGTTAGATTTGAATTAATTTTATGGTTTTATCATCTCTTCCATTGTTCATTATAGGTTCTTGTTTGATCATTCCTATAATTTGTTCTACTTTTTCGATATTTAACTGCAAGTCTATGTTTTCATCTTTGTTACTTAATCAAATCTATTATTCTAGAATTCTTTAAAAACGCTACAAGACAATATGAAGTCAAAAGACGAAGATCTAATAAAATATCAAACCCTCCTAAAAATTGACAGAGATAAACATAGTTTAGCTGCTGCTACTCTGCAAGAGGAACTTCAGAATCTCCAGAAGCAGTTGGCAGAAGAAAAACAAAATGTTAAAAGGTACCAATTTAAATAATTATAAATATTGACTCTAATACCGATGATTATATTATATTATATAACTGTGTACAGAAGTCGTTAAAATAAACATCCTTTCCAAATTACTTTCTTTAAAAAAACTCAAAAATAAGAAAGATACAAATTTAAAAAATTCTTACTCCGGGCATGGAAAGCAAAGTTAAGCTAATTAATAAGTCTGTTTGTTTTTCTCTTTCGGCTTTTTTTTAATCACGATTCATTCTATACCGGGGATTGTAATTCAGTCACGTGATTTCAATAGTGTGTTTATCTCAATTAGTGATAAAGTACTTAACTGATGGATAAGACTCGAGTCAAAATATTATTTAATTTGCTTTTATGTACGTTGTTGAAGATATTGTTTTTGTAAATAGTGGTTTACTTTTTTGTTTCGTATAATTGGGTATTTATTCTTGAAAAAATACTTTTCGAAAGAGATATAATAAAAAACTACATCTTTGAAAAATTAATTTAACCAAATAAACAATCTATGTTAATTACAATACAACAGACCCCATAATGAATCTTTTTTTTTTATTTTGCTGTGGGTACTGCTTTGTGTTTTAACTTTAATAATAATCTCACTTCTTGCTTATTGAAAGTTGGTCGATCTTTTGTTTGTCACTTGCTTTTTGTAATTTTAAATAATAATTTCAGAAAAATATAAAAACATTTTTAAATAATTCACAAAACGAAATAAGTGTAATATAGTAGGCATAAATACATTGATATGAAAGTAGTTACATGACCACAGAACGTTAAAAAGTACCAGATAATACTACCCTACAGATTATTTCTCTTAAAAAGACGTAAGCCTAATTATGATATAGGCTCAGTTGCGCCCGGCCCATTTACGCTCGCAACCTTTTTCGCCTCACTTGCGTTGCAGAAAAAGGTCAACAAGTGATTACATAGTTAAATAAAGCAGATTAAAATAAAGTGAAAAGGATTTACAAAATGCTTAGTTACCTACATACATTTGTACAGTTTATGAAAAATTAACAGGGTAAGTATCAAAAAAATGTTTTAATATTTTAATAAGTATTTTTTTAAATTACTTTAGTAAAGTTGTTACCTAAAATTATAAATGTTCAGTTTACTTTGTTTTCGTTTTTTACGCTGATTGTTACCTAATACTACTACATACAGTGACTACATCCAAGTTAATCAATGAGTAAGTTCGTGAGCATACCTAAAAAACATCCAGTGCCTAGGTGTGATAAAAATAAGCTCGTGTGCAAACACAGTTTTTTTTAAGTAGTTTATTAAACATATTTTTTTTGATTTGCAGGTTTACTGCGAGTTTTATGATGGTCGATACGAAAAAAAATGCAGACAATAGGGTTTAGACTACTTGAAGTTTGGATTTATTCCATCTTTATCAAATCAACACTTGTCGATGTGTCTCATATGTGAAAAAGTATTCAGTAACATGCTATGAAGCCTTTAAACATGGAGGACCACTTATCAAGAGTACATGCCGTGGAACGTTTTTTTTTTTACCATTCCATGGAAGAACATTGTTTCTGTTGAGGCTGATGGTGCCCCACTTATAGTTGGTTGTCATCTTGGTTTTATAGCTCACTTAAAGTGACAACTGCCTGAGATACTGCTCATTCACTGTGGTCCTTTTGCACTGCTAATTGTTAAGAAATAAGGCAGGCTTAATTTGACATTTTTCCATTAACAACGTCTTTTTAAGCTTCGCTTATTTATTAACGACTAGCGGTGCAAATGGCCTTGTGTGATTCACAGACGGCATTTAGTAGCAAAAAATCTGAGTCCTAGATTGCACCAGTCTTTACAATATGTTATAAATGCTGTCAACAAGATTCGAAGCAATTTTTTGTACTCTCGGTTATTTGTTCAGATATGTGAGGAAAACGACGTCTTTACTTTGTTACTTCTGCACACTGAAGTTCGCTGGCTATCAAGAGGCTCCTGCTTAGCAAGATTTTCTGCTATTTTTAGTTCTGAGTTGGAATTTTTACAAGAAAAAGATACTAATTTGAAAGAAAATCTGAACAACTGTAAAACAGAATATATTTATTGCTTGACTGATATCTTTGGTATATTTAACAAAGTTAATTTGCAGCTGCAGAATGACGATCTCAACTTGATTAAAACAAAATCAATAATATCGGCCTTTGTGGGTAAATTTATCCTTTATAAACAAAATTTAAGCAGAAAAGAATATTCACAGTTTCCGCATTCGTCAAAATTACTAGAAAGGCTTCAAGACGATGTTATTTTATCATATGTCACTCACTTGGACGAATTACACAGAGATTTTACTAAGAGGTTTGAGGACCTCTTAAATTTACAAATTCTTCCGTAGATAATACATCCGTTCAATATTGCAGCCATGGAACAAGATAATGCAAGAAAAGTTGATCACAATCAGCACAAACATATAGCTTAACCTTCCGTTTTCGCGTGTATCAGGTAGATACATGAAGTGCTTTTATTTCCCCCTCCCCGATAGTTTAGCCGCCGACTACTCCCACCATTCCAGTAGCTTCCTCGCTTACGTGCATCTTTCGAATAGTGCACGAATCGGCTTGGTACATATAAATGGTTTTGAAATATTGGCGTTTTGTATCTCACAGATACACGCGACTCTTGCATCTCACAGATACACGCGACTCTTGCGGTAAGTTTTATAAATGTTTTTCCTTTGCATATTTTTACTAGTTTTAAAGGAAAATTGAATAGTTATTTGCTGTGTGAAATTACATCCTTCAATTGCAACTTTTATTGTTTTTAGGCAATAAAATGGAATTTCGACGTGAAAAGTATGATTTGAACAATGAAAAGCACTGTGAGGAGCTGATAAATCTATTGTTACAACAGGAAAGTGATGATGAAGATGAAAGAGTAGATATAGAAGACGAAAACAGTGATACAGACGCGTTTGTTTATTTTGATGTCCGGGAAGAAAATTGTGAGAGCGAACAAAGTGATTATTGTGCGAGTAAAGAAGACGAAGAAGAAAATGGAGTACATTTTACTGCTGTTCAAAAGAAAAAGAATATTGTAGTGAATGAGTGGAAATGGCAAAAACTTACCCTTTCACAAAGAAGACGAAACCCTTCTCAAAATATTCTTATGCCATTACCTGGGGTAATTGAAGCCGCTAAACATGCTAATGTCATATATGAAACTTGGAACTTATTGATTGACGATACAATGCTGCAGGAGATTGTTGAATGTACCAATAAATACATTCAAAATATTCAAATACAATTTACTTGACCTAGAGATGCTAAAATAACCAATATTTCTGAAATCAAGGAGTTATTGGCTTGTTATATTTAGCTGGCGTTTACCATGTTTAGATAAACTATGGTCAGAGGATAACGTACAGAGGTTTAGGAAGACCATGAGTTTGAGGAGATTTCGTTTCATAATGCGCTGTTTGAGGTTTGATGACAGGGAAACGAGAGACAAGAGAAAAAATCGACCGCTTGGCAGAAATAAGGAATATTTTTAAGGCATTTGTGACAAATTGCCAAAAATCATACTCTTTGGGCCAAAACGTGACTATTGATGAGAAATTAGAAGCTTTTAAAAGACGCTGTGCTTTTCGCCAGTATATACCTTCTAAGCCGGCTAAATATGACATAAAAATCTTTGCCCCTGTAGACGCAAAACTATCTTATACCTACAATATGGAGATATATGCTAGACACAAACCAGAAGGACCAGATGGCATAAGCAATAAACCAGTTGATGTGGTCAAGAGACTTGTTACTCCTATTCATAATTCTGGCTGTAACGTCACGATTGACAACTGGTTCACAAGCTATGATTTAGTAAAAGATCTTAGGCAAAATAAAATCTCTCTTGTAGACACTCTGAAAAAAAATAAGCCACAAATACCTAGTGCATTCAAAGATATCAAAGATCGAAGTGTTCCATCTAATTTGTTTGGGTTTCAGAAAAATCGTACTTTAGTCTCGTATGTACCAAAATCGAACAAAAATGTTATTTTATTATCAAGTATGCATTTTGATGATACAATAGACTTATCAACAAATGAACAACAGAAACCGGAGATCATAACATTTTATAACGGAACTAAAGGTGGAGTAGACACTGTGGATAGAATGTGTGCAAGCTATAACGTTGCCCGGAACACGAAACGCTGGCCGATGGTGGTGTTTTTTTCCATATTTTTTGTTGGAAACCAAAACAAGGTAAAAAGTAGAAAAAGTTTTTTACATGATCAGTTAACCGAACCTGAGATCCAAAGACGACAAGTGACAAACGTAGAAGTTCTGGTGGATGCCGATCCTGAAAATATCCCTACTCCTGTGCTACACGAAAATGAGGATGTACCCAGAAAAAGAAAAAGATGTAGTCTGTGCTATTCACAAACAAAAAAATCCCATCTCACAAAAATTTTCTGTGTAAAATGTTCAAAACCTTTGTGCCTTGATCACTGTAAAAGTATTTGTAAAGATTGTGTTCCTGGGCAAATAATGTAAATATTTTATAATTATGTCTATTCTTTTTTGTTTTGTAGAGCAAAAATGTTCAAATAAAGGAGTTTTCTAATTTTTTGTATTATTTCAAACCCTAAAAATGATAATGTATCTACCAGATACATGCGCGACCAATCCCGAAAGCTTTTTGACGCGACTAGCGGAAGGTTAAGCAGAAGTGCAACAAAGGCTATCAGAAGTTCTGGTTGCAGCGCAACATTGAAACACAGTAGCTTGCATTGTAGAACATTGCTAAAAAATACATTCAGCATACCTAGTCGAAAAACAGTTTAGTGTAGTTACAAACATTTTGACAAAACAAAGAAATCGTTTGAAAATCAACGAACGCGGAGATTTAAGGCTGCAACTCACCAATATTGAACCAGATTTAAGTAAATTGGCAGAAAGTTACCAGATTCATCCATCACACTGAATTTTTTAATTGTTTATAATTACTTTGCGATTTTAATGTTTTTTTTTACAAAAAATAATTAGGTACCTACTTTACGTAATTTACTGATATTTACTAAATTTTATGTGTTTATTTTGTTAAATTTTGATTAGAAAATGATGTCAAGTTAACTTAACCAATTGGTAAATTGGTAAACTAGACATAGGATTTTTAAAGTAATTTGGCTATGGGGGTCTGAGGTATCAGTTCATTTTGGAAAAGGGGTCTCTTGTCCAAAATAGTTTGGGAATCCCTGGTCTAAAATATATAGTAGTATGGGGACGAATATTTAATAGCATCTTCATTCAATACGTTTAATCAGAATTATTGATTGTGCACTCATAATGATTGAAAATATTAGGAATGTACGAGAAAAAAGAGATTGTGATTTTACCCAAAATGTTCTAATACGTTACAGTATCACACAACAATTTCCTTATCGTCAAATTTAAATAAATTCAATATTCTAAATAAAAAGAAAAGACAATGTCACCACTATTTAAAAATTAAATCAAATATTAATTTACTGATCTTTGTCCAAGTTACCTGTAAAAATACTCATTTGCGAGTTTCATATTAATTTGATATGAATAATTTAACAAGGTGATTACTTAATCAAAAATTTAATAAGCTCACAAGGTATCGGCCCTAAACTACTTTTTTATGACTTGCAAACAATATGCAGCGTGTTGCAAGAAGTCTGCACCAAGAAAACATGAACGAAACTTTTTAATCTATGTAAAAAACATTAAAATAGATTAATTTTTATTATTATTAAAGAGAGGAAATTTAAAATATTTTTTTCTTTAAGAATACCGACCACATTTGAGGTTATGAATATTTAATTCTAAATTAATAATATTATTTTTAATAAAAAGTAGTATTATATGGACTTAATAAATTTATTAAAATTATTAGAGATATTTTGCAAATCTATAAGGTCAGCCACTAATAGTGACAACGTAATTAGAGGCAAATAAATTCCATGCTAAAATAAGACTTATTGCAAACCCAAAGTTTTCAAATTAGAGTCCTTGTACTTATACATATTTCTAACCTCATTTTAAAAATTTTAAATTACAGTTCATAATTTTTGTTGTCTATAATTGTACATAATATGAAAGAGGGATTAGAAATTACCATTTTAGAAAGTTTAGATGACGATGATCTTAAATATTAAATATTAGAAAACTGATACGAATGTCGGCGAGCGCACCCGAAAACTACTATCTGCTGCCCTTAAACATTAAGGGTGAGATTACAGAACGTCTGCAACTTTGCAGATCAGCAACTTTGCAGATCTGCAACTTTGCAGATCTACAAATATGGCGGACTTACAAATGCAAGTATTCCAAAAATTATCTGCAAATTCGCAATATTTATTGTGGTTTATTACCCCCAACAACACTAAACCCAAATTTGGAATACGAAAACTTGATACTTGCATGTGTAAGTCAGTCATATTTGCAGATTTTCAAAGTTGCCGCCATATTTGCAGATCTGCAAAGTTGCAGACGTTCTGTAATCTCACCCTATATCTTTAATAAAGTCAGTTCTAGAACGTTAACGATCTATCAAAATAAGAGCGGCGCTCATAGTCACTGACCTTCAGTGAATTTACAATATCTCTCTGGGTGTGTTTATTAACTTACTCCAGAGTAACGGATTAACTTCATGTCGTTTATTTACTTACTCTAGATGTTTGAAGAGCCATCTAGAGTTAACTCTGAAGCGTTTAAAAACTTGAAAATGTCTACTCTCGAATTAACTCTCCTGACTCTACTATCCGAGGAGAGTTTGTATTAACTCTGGCAACTGACATATTAATAATAACAAGACAAGGACGTAGTGACCTATAAATTTTGTGGTGTGTCTATGGTTTCTTTTTGGTTACAATGGAGGAATTTGATATTGTAAACGGAAATTTTAATTCGAAAATAAATGTATTGCCTATATGAATCTGGAGTAGCTAACAGCCAAAAATTGGGTTGTTACATCCACAATTGGCCTGCCCTCTAAATTATTATTAGTTAAATGAGGGCCCAAAATATTAATGATATTTTCGAATACATCTTTAGACATCCTAAAATAATTTTTGAAGTGCTGAGCTCTTAAATCATATAACACATAATTTAGAAAATCGGTTCTTTTGCAACCTGATTTCTCGTACGCATAATAAGAATATATTCTTTATTATCTGAAGTTTCATCACTGCTATCCTGAAATTTAAAGTTAAGATTGATTTAATAAATAAGATTCTACGTTTGTACTGTACACTGTATGTCGATTATAAATAGAGAATTAATAAAATAATGAATATCAATTTACATTAAACTCCAACATGAAATGTCAAGCATTCAAAGCAAGCACTTTATTGTCCATTATATCCATCGTCCATCCTAAAATTCTTAAGCGATATATATTATTTATTATTTTTGAAAAAAAAAGAAGCTATCCGCGGATCGGGATCGGTTGTTTTCGTGGTTATGACATAGCTATTTGACAGTATGACAGTTGACGTTGGTGTAATATTTTTAAACGCTTTTACTCATACAATTCGGGTTCATCTATATGAATCACGTGACTAAACTCTGACATAATTCTAGATTGAACTCCGAGTAAGTTTATAAACACACCATCTGTCATATATAAAAGATCCTGCTACTACTAAGAATAAATTATTTATTTATCTAGGTGGCTATGATTTCATATTTACTGATAACTATTGATTCTAAACAAATGTTTTAAATATTATTTTTCTCTATATTTAAAAATAAAGATATTTACTCTCGAGCCAAATTCATATTTTTTATTCCCTTGTATACAGAACCAAAATTTGTTTTTTTAATTTTCGCTGTTTTTAAATACATCCTCTTACATTTTAGACATTTAGCACACTCCGTCTTTTCATACTATTCAGCATTATTACTTTTTTACAAACTTCTTAAATTCACACTCAGTCAAACAAAATGTTTCTCTGAATATGTCAAAATTTTGTTGATCTACCAACATCGGAATAACGATGAAATACTAATTAAAATCTATCAAATTACCTGTTAAAAAAATCCCTTAATACCTTTTTAATTTTTCCCATCCCTGAAGATATCTCTGGTAGCGGTACCTCAGTATCGAAACGTCGTTGTTTCAGTTTAGAAGAGAACCATGCGAACACCAGACCAAACAGGGCTGCTCTAGAACAATACATTGGGCAGGTGCACGCTCTGGAAAATCACATGTCTGAACTGCACACAAAATTATCAACAGTGGAGGCGCAACTGCAATCTAGCAGGCAAGAAGCTATCAGATGGAGGAACATGGCGAATGACAGGTTGGCTGCGATGGAGGATTTAAGAAAAAAGTAATTATCTACAATTTTTAAATCTAGATTAAAAAGTGTCGAGTGATTATCAATTGCTAAAAGTAGCGGATCAAGTATTGCTTTAACAAATTTTTGTAAATGTGTTAGCAATTCTATAAATATTTCTTCTGTTATCCAATCATTGTCAGAATACATGTAAACAGCATCTGGGGGACCATTTTTTATGTGTAGTGTGTGCAAATATAAATAAAGAAGGAATATATACTCCAGCGGCACTAAATGTAAATAGTACAGTAGTTTTTCTACCTTTTTCTGCACTGGTGACAAAGCCCCACCCTGTTCTGACATTTTTGTGCATAAGTTCTATTGGGACGCTGGACAGTTGATATTCCTGTCTCATTTGCGTTAAATATTCTAAACGGTGGAAACTTGTATTTTTCGTTTACTTTATTTAAATCATCATAAAAAATAGATCATTATTTTTTTATTAAATGCTTGAATTTTGTTAGCATTGGTAGCTTCTGGTTTTTTTATAGAAATTCTTGAGTTTCTTCTTAGAAAATTTTCTAACCAATCCCGACAAGCTTTTTCGTTCTTAGGAGAAAACGGATGTTTTAAATTATTTTTCGAGCGTAAGCATATACACATCTTTGAATCACCATTAAACACATTTCGCAGTTTTATATCACTTCAAATGCCGGCTTTCGACCCAAAGATATTTTTGAGAACCTACCATTTTTTTATGACCTTGTAACATTGTTCTCAGAATGCCAGAAGATTTTGAAACTTCAAGTTCACTTCGACCATTCTGTAATGATAGTAGCTTAGGTTAGAGTGAAAATGAGTGCGACCCATATGGATCTATTGTGGCTCGTGTCTACCTTATAGTTCACCGTACATAAAATGAGCTCTGCAGATTCGTCTTCTATGCTGCAGAATCAAAAGTCCAATGTTTGTTGTAGACCTATCCTTCTCATGTGGTTATCCAGACGACAATGCCCTATTATCAGTCCCGTGAAAATGCTTAGATCTTTTCTACTCTATTCCCGGGTCTAAGCAGAGGCGTTCATGAAAAAATTGGTAATAAACGCCTTTAAATGAGTTAGCCCTGGTGTAACTCTCCATTTAGTGAATGTTGCGCTCTTCGTCCACTTTGAGATAATTCCTTTTGCAATGCCTAGGAATGGTACTGGTCTTATGAACTCAGATTCGGTTCCACTTTTAGCGAGCGCGTAGGCTTTTTCATTGCCCACTAAATCGCTGTGTCCTGGAACCCAGATCAAAGTAACTTTGTTCCGGGCACCGAGACGTTCAAGGATATTTATACAGTTCAAAACCAGCTCAGTGTCTTGAGGGCTGCCTGGCTATCCAAAAAGATCTTTATAGTCTTGTTTGCGGGGAGAAAATTATCAACTCACTCGCTTCCAATTCTATAGCAATCATTTCTGCTTGGAAGATCGTGAAAAGAGAGCCTAGGTTTATTGATATGTCAACTATTGGCTTCTGGCCGAAAACTTCCGCTCCCACTCCTTTTTCAATTGTGGAACCGTCCATGTGCAGATCATAGTCCGCCTGAAAGAGGGTCCATACGTTTCTCTCTCTCTGGAACAAGGGCGTTGTATCTCTTTTCTATGTGCTGTCGGAGAACTAGCGAGTCTGAGACCATGTTAAGGACGTGGTGGTAATTAATCTCATTCATCAGCCTCATCTTATCCCATCGCAGTTCTTCGTTGCATTGATTACCCACCTTCAGGAGTCTATATGCGATCATCCTAGCGTCCCTTTCCACCTAACGGTCCAACATGATCTCCATGTCTCTTGTCGGTGTGGTTGACATTGTCCTAGTGATGGCGAGGCATGCAAGCCGCTGAATTCCAGGTTTTTTTTAATCTTTGGTAAATGCAGTAGATTAGATGAGAACTGATCTTCCATGCTTTGCAGAATATCCTTCTGATAGTCCAGAGGAATCATCTGGCTTCGTTGATGATTTTTTAATGGGGGGGTTCCAGGTAAGCTTCTTATTTAGGATAATTCCTAGATATTTCATCTGCCCCGCAAAGGAATGGTTTTCCCGAGCACGTTAGGTTTTCGAAGCTTGTAGTGCTGTTACTGCCGCATTTAAATTTTAGGTTTACCAGGACTCTCTTTTTATTTTTCATATATATTTTTGTGTCATCTAAAAATAAAAATTCTTGTTGAATTTAAAATAGGCAATACCGGCCAGCCCGAAATTGCCTGCATCGGCATGGTCAGTACCCGTAATGTATTTAAATTTTAAAACATTACCTACGAAATTTTAATAAAATGAATCAAAGATAATTAATGGAAGTACTTAATTAACAACATTAAACAATTTTATTTGTTGTTAAATAAAAGTAAAACATACCTCTAAAATATAACACGTTCACTAGACGTCTTAATGAATTTTTTTGGAAATGACTGTAGCAAAATAGCAAATGTTAGCTCAACAATGTTTAAGCAACTACTAACTTACACTGACAGTTTACACTCAAAAGTGATGGTATACAATTGTTGAGTTCAGGAGATGGACTCATTTTACTCTTTTCACTCCATACTCAACTTTAGTCCATGATAAATCATTGTAATTGAGTGATGTGAAGTTAAACATAAAGAGAAAAGAGTAAAAGGAGTCCACATCCCGAACTAAGCAAATGACACGTAGTCTAAGACCGACTCACATTTAAAAAATCTGGTAGCCGAGTTTAACTCCTGGCCAGTGTATGATCGAAGAGGCAAGTGTATTTTTTCGATTTTTCATTAGATTTAACATTGGTGGTTTTCTTATGAGGAATTTATTTCCAAATTTAAGAATTAAAATCCATTGATTTATATTTGTAGACGTATTTGTGGATAAGTCGAATCTTTTTTTTTTTTAGCTATATAGATTCTTTGAATAAAAAAGTCCAATTACTAGGACATATAGAATTTATTGTCTTCTTTCAGTTTAGATGAACAACATCAAACTGAACTAGAAATCTATAAATCGGATACGGAAAAATTGAAGGAAATCGGTAACGACGAAATCAACAGCTTGAGACAAATCGTTCTAAAGCAAAAAGGCGAACTTACTGGTAGACTTGATTCTGATATTCAACGTTTGATTAGAGAAAAGGACGATAAAATACACGAGATGATTATCAAATTGAGACAAATTAAGGTTAGTATGATTTAAGGCAAAGCCATTTTTAAAATAATCTTTTTATTGTGATTTTGGGTATGAATGGATATTGGTATGCTAATGGGCGTTTTAGGAGCAGGTCGAATGTGTTTCGTGATAGTAGATTGTTCCGGAAATATATAGCTACATCAGGACAGTAGCCAGAAGAGAAGAAAAGAATACATAGAGGCAATGTCTCACCCTAAAATGCCAGTATCCTGTCTTAAATATAGCCAATGGTTATTGCACATTAGTTGGTAGTTCCATAAAGTCTCCTTATTCACGACAACATGCAACACGTAGCAAAACTGGCGACTTGCCACGTTTAAACTGTTTATATTCCATTATTGCTCTTTTACCGTCGCGTCCCTAATCACCAATCGGCATCAGTGACATTCACATCCGTATCCAATAGATGCGTTCTGTCCTTTCGTGCTTTCTGTCCTTTCTTTTTCGACAAAAAAGGAAGCCTTCCGAGATACGTAGGATCGCTTTATATCAATGGCAACATTCAGCTGCAGCACTGCTTCATGCGAATCTACCTTTACAACTTAACTGTTGGCTCACGGGATAATGGCAGGTCTGATAGTTCTTTGTATTAAAAAGGATCTGATCACAAGAGAGATACTAAAGAAATTACCACCAACATATTCCACTACTATGGAAACTATTAAGGGAATAACGATAATCAAACCAGAAAAAGCCAATAATGAAATAATAGCATATTATAGACTAATCTCGCTTCTACCTATGATATCAAAACTTTTGCTCTTAAGACCAACTTTTAAGGTAAGCTCTTGTTTAGAAGCACTAGCTGTTTCAATTGCTTTTAAAATTCCATTTGCCTAATCCCGCTGTCTTCTTTTAGCTGAACACAGATTACGTTCTTTACATTGCCTTTTCTGGATTGCTGCGGGAAATTTGGGAATACTTAGTGTGTGCACAGCACTAGCTTTCAAATTTCGGTTTTTTATGAGAATATATCCCAACAATCTCTGCTGCAGAGACACTTCGAAACAGAAGACTTCAGAGCAAATACGACCTAAAAAAAAACATCCAGTCATACTATATGTACATGAAATTTATGTTTTTGCAACCAATAAATGTTCACTGTTTCAGTCGGAAGCCTATTATTTGAGACACATTGTTTCCGCAGAAGGAATCAAAACTGACATCAGAATTACTGCATATATTGCTTGCTTTAAACTTCTCGAATATTCTCGAACTGTCTAGACTTTTTCTTGACGTATGATGACATTTCCAGACATTTCTGGACTATTCTATCTTCTTTTGCTAGTACATACTTTTACTTATGACGACTGCAGCACACTGTAGGGCGATAAGTAACATTTCACTTCTTTTTGTATTCGTATGTTTCCTATAACAGCCACAGGCTACTGCAGGGTGTTGCGTAACAATATTTACAAATAAGTTCTATAGCCAGTATGAACGTATGGTCTATAATTATGGGGGTGTACCAGAAAAAGCAATTACAATTGCCTAGAAATAGGCTAAAACAGAATTCTCAGGGACATAGTTAATGCTACTTGATATGTCAAGAGGCATGAGGGAGAGGCTCCACAAACGCATCATTATTGAAGCACTCCAACTTTTAGACAATCAGGACCTAGTGCTAGACTTCAAAGAGTCAAACCTTTTGAGCTTATGAAAAGTGATAAAGCAGAGTTAGTGTTATGAACCCCAATATCGAAGTGTGCAGAATATGTTAATAACTAGTGAACTGAGGTGAAATCTAGATTTAAGATTTGATAGTAAATTAGGTTATTACAAAAATACTGATTATTCTTGTAACATTAATTAGGTACATTCGGATATATAAAAAACAAAAAAATAGAAAGGAAAAGAACGGAGGAAATAGATATCAATGAAATACTACAAAAACTCAAAAAAAAAACAAAGAAGTGTATCTTGAAAGTTTAAGATCTTCAGTTTTCACCAGACTTGTTTTTTCTTTCCTTCCTGCTTTCAAATCAGAATAAAAGTGCGTATAAATGGTATTTTTTAAATTTTTTAGTTGCGTCATTTTCAATTTGAAATATTGTTTCAACTTATTGCCACAACAATAAATATGATTGAAAATCAATCGTTAATGTACAGGTTGCAACCTCTTAAACTTCACTTTAAAATTACTAAAGAAGAATCCTAACGCTACACCAAATGTTATTATGAGCATTGGCTCAGATTTAACCATTAATGGTCGTAGATAAAGTATTGTATGATATTCGTGGATAAAATGTTTATATTTAGTGTAAGGGAATGCCGAAAATACTTAATGTCCTCAGAAATATACAAAATTTTCTATGTGGAGGTAGATTTATTCCAATTTTGTTATTTATACTGTTACCTACCAAATTGATTCACTGGTTTTTAAATTCAATATCTGTATTTTTTTTTTAATTCTACTCTTCAATCTCTCAGAATAGGTTGTACAATAGGCAGTTAAAATGTAATCTTAGTTTAAACTGGGAACCTCGTTGTATAATCATCGGTTATATTTGTACTTTGAATTTAACCAGTTAAAAATTAAACTCCTTTTAGGTAAACCTGAGATTATGGAATTCTTTGTACAACCCGAATACACAGGTTTTGGTATTTCCCTGTATATTTAACTTTAACTTATTCTCAAGACTATAATGAACGGCTTACATTGAAGGTGCTGGTTTTTCCTCGTAGTTGTATAAATGAAAAGCCGGCCACAATTAACACCATTTAAACAAAATTCTTTAAATTGTCACAAAATGAAATATAGACTATTTACATACTGATACTGCACTTCTGTAGAAAATAATCACATTTATGCCGATATTTCGGCGTTATTAAACAATCATTTGGTAAATGTAATATGGCGGTATGACGCTTCGGTGACAAACCACATTGTGTTAACAGCGGTGAGGCATGACCTTTGCCTCTGAGAGTGAGATCTTATCTGAAACTTGTTAGCGGTTTAAATTTAAATTAAAAGCGTGATAAGAAGCGTCACCTTCATGACACGTCTGCCCAATGGCTTTTGAAGTAAGTGTTCAATGACTTGTAACGTAGACTGTGACGCGGATTGCATAATGGCCTCGAGAATTTAAACGTGCTTCAGGGTTGGTTTTTAGGATTTTTTTGCCAAGATATTTTTAAAATTAAATATAGTTGGTCTATGTTTTAATATTTTGAACGCTTCAACACCGCCATCAGATGAATAAATAAAATATCAAGATTATTTTGATTGGAACTTATTATCCTTCCATTATAGCTTTTTTAACGATTCTTAAATGATTGGCATTGTTAACCCATTGACGATTTTCAAATTAAGCGCCAGAATGATTCGTGCTTAGCAATTGCGTTACTGCACTACTAAAGAGTGTACTAAAAGAAGATTGAAAACCATAAATAAGGCGATAGTTGTGTGAGCAAAACGTTTTTTTACAGGAAATACAAATTTTTAAAAACGAATACGATTGACAACTATTTTTAATCTGACTGACAATTCTTTTTTCCCTTTCACTAGTGGCAACTCAACATCTACTTTATAGCTACATCTTCCTACTGGTACCTTAGCATTACTAGCCGGTTAACTCGTTACAGTAAGAATATTATTTTGTTTGGAATGCCTAATATTATCGGAAAAACGGTCAATCTGGCAAAAGGGCAAATGACAAAACAGGATTCGGCATGATCTTAAATTCCCATATAATCCTAAGTTTTGTGGATTCGTCGTTTTTAGACTCTTGTCAACTCTGTATTGCGTTTGTATTATAAAACGAGTATACTTATAAATTTTGCAACTCATGTGTAACATAGTATCATAAATGTCTATTTTATATATTTTTTTATAGAACGTAAAAAAACCTGAACCTATAGATTTGGATTTATCGCCTAAAAAAATCGACTTGGAATCAGCCAAAGAAGTACTGCTAAAAGAAAACGATTTATTAAGAAGAAGATACGAACAGATGTTGGCCAAAGAAAAAATCGCTAGAGAGGAAATCAATAATCTGAAATTTCAACTTTTAAAAAAGTAAATACTAACGTTTTTTCCTTTATAACTTCCCACCGCTATATTATTCTCTTTACGCTCTTCCACTCTTATTCTAATCTAGATTTCTAGTATACTTAACCACCTCTGCACAGTTGATATATTTTCAATTAAATTTTTTAAGACCAATCAGCGCTAGAAGCGACAAATCCGATAAATCGATAAAAGATCAACTCCAGAAAAAAATCGCCACTTTGGAAAAGGAAGTTTTAGATTTAAAAGAAAATCTGAAAGAACAGATAGCGATAAACGAAACGCATAAAATCCAGGCCACCGAAGATTTTAACAAATGGAAGAAAATGAAACATTTTCAACAGTCTGCAGATAAATTGAAAAACAAACTGAAAGAAAGAGAGGCCGAGTTTGAAAAATTGCAACAAACTAGTTCAGGTGCGTCGAAAAATTTTTTGTGTTTTATTTATTTACCTGATTTTATATAAAGGTTTTTTTCATATTTGGTTAATGGTATAAAGGGTGTTTTTAAACTACATGTATACATATTAAAACTAGTTATTTGATCTTTACTGGAATACATAATAATACACTACTCTCCAAAATTAACGCACCACCCTAAACGTACCATAAGTTTGAAGCTATTTTTCTTCTGAACCGTTGATTGGATTTCGATGATTTTTTTTTCGCATTATAGGACTATTTCTAAGGAATTACTGTACCAATGTTTTCTAAGAAATGTCAACTTTTTACCCATATACGGGATGTTAAAATAAAGTTGTGTTTTTTCATCTTATTTTGCAACACCCTGTGGAATTTATTAAAAACAAACACTTCATCTTATTAATATTGCGAGATAGCTTCATCTTTTCTCAACATTGTCGTAGAAATATCATTTCGATATCTCTGTTATCAAAGAAGAAAAGTACGTTCAAAGCATAACGTGAGAGAAGTTTGGGATGCAATTGAGCAAGACCAAATACGTCGCTTGATTTTAAGTATGCCTAGTCGCTGTGAAGAAGTAATTAGAAATAGAGGTGGAAATATTCGTTATTAAGTGTTTTTAAGAGAGGGAACTTGTTAAAGATTATTTAGGTTATGTTTTCTTAGGTTTCAGTTGTTTTAAATGTCACTAAGTTTTATGTAAGTAGTGTTTTCTTTGCTTTTATTTGCTTTAAATGTCCATAAAAACTTGTTACATTTAAAGTTGTGTATAATTTTTGATAATAGAGATATCAAGATGATTTTTTACGAAAATGTTGAGAAAAGATGAGGCTATCTCGCAATATTAATAAAATGTAGCGTTTATTTTTAATAAATTCCACAGGGTGTTGCAAAATAATATAAAAAAACTCAAATTTATCTATACACCCTGTATATGGGTAAAACGTTGTCATTTTCCAGAAAACATTGGTACAGTAATTCCTTAGAAATAGACCTATAATGTGAAAAAAAAGTCATCGAAATCCAATCAAAAATAGCCCAAACAGTAGTTTTATTACCCACAAGCTCTGCAGAAATTAAAACAACTATTAAGAATCTGAAAATAAACAAATCTCCAGGGTCTGATAATTTAAAAGCAGAAAGTTTAATTTGCATTTCTGAATCAATAGCTGAGCCATTTTCTTATATAATTAATAAATGTTTAGAGTCGGGTGTATGGTCAAATAGTTACAAGTACAGGGTAGTAACGCCGTTATTTAAAACCGGAGACAGGAATTCTATAAGTAACTACAGGCCAGAGCTGGGTAATTACATGTACTTTAAAAATAATTACAATTACAAAGTATGAATTATATTGATTTAATTACAATTACATGAAAAAAGGAATTAGCAATTACTTTTCTAATTACTTTATCGATAAAACAACAAATTATGATAGAATTGAAGAACCATGAATCAACGGGACCGCTACAAATAAAATTTTTAAATAAATAATTTAAAGTGTTAAACTAACAGCCGTTTGCAACGACTTTCTTAAGGATTTCTTAAAGTTAAAGATATCTTAAGGGCGGGTTATATAAATCTTACTTAAAGTTAAACTCGGTTTGAGGTGACACATGACAAATTTTGTATGGCATAGGTACAGTCTAAATACCATTTAGACCTTAGAGCTTGTTTCCCCAAACATTAGACTACACATATAGTATCAAAAATTGACATGTATCACCTAAAACTGAGCTTAATTTTAAGTAAGCTTTATACAACAAGCTCTAAGTGTATTGTTTTTTTGTACCATTTAAGGTCTTCTTAACTTAAGGGAAAAGACAAATTCGATAAGTAGTATAAAAAATGGAACAGGTAAGTTAATAATAAAATGTGAACTTTTAAAAGTTTATTGATTTTCAACAAAAATACAAAAGTTCGTGCACCTACGCCTAGGTACTTTTATATTTTACCTAATCTGAATTTTTGACTACCTTGTATTTGTTTTAATTTATTATTATGAGGTAGTGAATAAAAGAAATAGGATAGGAGGCAATAAGTTAACCATTTTGATCAATTACTGAGGCCCTTCCTATGCGCCTCAGTATTGCATTCGTGCAGACGAAAAAATTTTCTGACCCCATTTTTTATAAACTTTTTTTCATGTTTCTGATCATTCTGAATCCGAAAATCCAAAAAAAAATTTTCGTCTGGTCGTCTGTATGTATGTATGTATGTATGTATGTATGCCGGCACGATAACACTAGAACGAAAGTTCTGATTGACTTGCGGTTTTGATTTTCTTGAATAATTACTTCTAACTTAGAACCCTATTGATTTTCAGAATTTTCTGTTCATCCTAACTACTTTAATAACAATTTTCTTACAATCCGCCTATGTATTCCTTATCTGACAATTTTAGGAATTTCAATAATTTCTAACGTCAAAATTCCTAACATTCTTCACATTCCATAAATTGCATTCTCTAACGACCTGTCAAACAACAGCTGTTGATAATAAAGGTGAAATTTCTAAGGCGGGTTGCGACCTTCATACTTGCAACCATATAGCCATTTTGGAAGCTATTTTCATTCGAAATTAGTCGCCAAGCCTGCCAATTTATGAAAAATATATAAGCAGGTTCTTAAAAATGACTTTATGGTGGTGCTATTAAGTGTACTACTATTTCGCCCCTAGCCACAAAAACACCTTCATCAAATTTACTGGTTCTCTGTCGCAACCCCATAGAATAATTAAGCGGGTATTTTATTTGGTAAAAATCAAAATAATGCTTGGCTGTGCCTATCAAGTATCAAGATGTCAACTGTGATATGTGAATGGCTCTTAAATGTCAAATTATTTAAAAATTTATACTTCTTTTGATATTTATTGCAAACAATAAATATCTCAATTCAGGCTTTTCATAAATAAAGGTACAGCAAAACAGATAATATAATGTTCTTATACAAAGCACTTTTTTATTATATAAAAGAGAGGTAGGATATAATACCCATTTCAAATTTGGATCATTTATGATACCGAGGTATTTTGTTGCGTTTTTCATTTTAATTATAAATTTGTCATTTATTTGTATGTTGAAAGCATCTACTTTAATACAAAAATAGTTTTGTGGCTATAAGTTGCTATAACCTATCTTCGCAAAACTATTAATTATTTAAACATAGAAAGTGGTATTAATATAACATCAAGTATTTTTTTAAAATAAAGTACATGATCTCAAAACAAATAATCTATAATAAATGCGGATAAAACGAGGGGTAAAATAACAATAAATTAAGGGAAATACTTAAAAAGGGCAGGTTTAAAGAGTATTATCACAAGAAAGTATATCCGTTCTGTGTATTTATCAAGTATTGTTTGAGGTTAATTTTGAATTATTGTTTTTTTTTTTAATTTCTGTAGGCAGTCTATTAAATTTTTTAAACCTTTAATAAAAATTGTATTTTGGGAACTTTTAGTGATGGCTTGCCATACATGAAAGTCAGATTAGTTTCTTGTATTATAGTTGTGATATTGCGAATTATATTAAATTTTTTCTAATAGATCTGATGCGATGGTACTATGTCATTTTTATTTTATAAATAAATATCAGTCATGTACTGAACATAATTCTGAACTGAAAGCCAATTTATTTCTTTTAACATAGTTGCAATACTCATCCTGTCCTTTATTAATAGAATATAAATAGGCGAAGTAAGAAGCCCAAATATTTTACATGAGCAGGTTTAAGAGGTAAAGGGGCCAATTATTATTGGATAAATTGCTCGAACAAGTTTTTAAACCCTAATCAAATGACGATATAGAATGGTTTTAAAAATCAAGGCTTGTGAAAATCATCACATGATTTAACCTAAGTAATGCCAATGCTTCACAAACCAAAAAATTCAACGTGCTAATACTACTATCAGCTTTCGGTATTTCGTTCCAAGTTAAATCATTTCTCGTTTTTGTTACGCTACGAGTTTACCCTTGTGGGCCTCAGTCTCGATAAGGTGGGAACCACCATTATAGCGTCTCTCGAATTATGAATAGTTTTGACAGAAAAAATTTCAAAATTTAAAAATCTCTATTTTCTAACAAATCAAGGATAGATCAATGAAATTAGTTATTCAGGGAGAATCTAAAAATGTAATAAAATACAGGGTGTGCCACAAAACTTTAATACGCCACATTTTTTTGGGTCTTACTAAGTAGGTATATATTTTAAAATTATTTTAAAAAAGTGGCTTTCCTCATCATATATATTTCAAATACAGGAGCCATTTTAAAACTTTATCGATTCGCTATAAACGTTAGAGGCGTGGTAAATTATCCTGAATAATGTGTTATTGTTATTGACAAATTATACTGAAACTGAAATAGTAGTTTGTGCAACAAGAGTGGATTTGAAGTTGTACAGTATATTTTCTCTACGACCCACTAACTAATTTTAAAATAATTTATGTTTTCTACTAATTTATAAAATAAAATAAACAAAAGAAAATTAGCCCTTTGTCCAGATTTGAACCCGGGCTATTCGCATGGAAGGCAGATGCTCTGTCCTCAGCTTTAAGGCACATTTAATTATTTTAGTTTTAATACTCGTAACTAAACTAGTTTCATATAGTTTGATTAAATTTTTTTTTCTTCATATTGTGACCCAAATAAAAATAAAAATATTTTTATCGATTCTAAACAAAAATAACTCATTTAGTGTATATTTAATCTCAATAACTAAAAAATATACTGATTATTAGTTTAACAGAATGATTGTCACTTATTTAAAATTTTAAAAATAATAGTAGTTTGGTGTCCAAAATATGAACTGTGATTGGTGAATTTCATTTTTTTTGCAGTGTTCTTACTACTTAGAATATATATGAAATATATTCGTTCAGTTCAACGCAATAGCTTACTTTTCCTTTTTTAATCTGTGCGTAGATAAACTGATATCCCTATAGGTGTCTAAAACCACTTTTCATTGTAGAAAACTAGAATAATAACTAGAAATACCTACGCAACGCAAATAAGTAGTTTTTAGTATTTACCTCATATTTCCTTAGTTTATAATGTTTATGCAACATAACTTATGTTTATAATATAAATGCAAAATACGTCTTAGAAATAAGGATATCTGCATCTACCCTTACTGTTATTATTTTCACTGCTTCATGGCACAACGCTTTCCTCAAATACATTCAAACAAATGATATGGATGCGAGTCCGAGCTCTAGTGACCGGTTCGAACAGGAAATTTTTTGTTTTTATATCTCATGCATCTCATAAACAGGCATTTAAAAGTAGTCGTATAATTGTCCTTATAAATGTAATTGTAATTGGAAAAAAGTAATTGAAATTGGAAAAGTAATTGTATTTGGACAATTTAAATAATATAAATTAATATAATTACAAAGTACAATTCCTCCACAGATTTTGCTGCAATTACAATTCCAAATTACTTTGAGAGAGAAAAAAGTACTTAAATACAATTATAAATTACACGAAAAAAAGTTATTGTAATTATTAATTACTTTTTAACTAGGAATTACCCAGCTCTGCTACAGGCCAATATCTTTAATATCCAAAGTCTTTGGAAAAGCGTCTCCAAAATTATCTATCTAAATATCATCCTATCAAAAAATCAATTTGGCTTTAGAAAAAATGTTTCAACTGAAGATGAGATACTATTATTAACCGAGAAAATACACTTAGCTATAGATTCTAGTGAGGCTTGTTAGGGTATTTTCCTTGATCTTTCAAAGGCTTTTGACACGGTAAATCATTGGTATTAGGGGTAGTTGTTTAGAAATATTTCGTAGTTACTTAAATAATCGGACGCAATCTGTTAGAATAGAAAATTTAATTAGTGATCATCTTACAGTCCAATGTGGTGTTCCGCGGGGTAGCGTTCTAGGACCTATCCTTTTTAATTTATATGTGAATGATCTTTTCTCTTTGCAATCTACTCACCGTTATGAGACGCGTTGCAAACATTTTCATGCTGTACCATTTATGCAGAAATCTATAGGACAGCGGTCTTATATGTACTTGGCTCCAAAAATATTCAATTCACTTCCTCAAAACATAACAAACACTCCAAGTCTATTGACTTTCAAAAAAAGAATTAAACACATATATATTTGAACTTGGCAGAATGTTTATTGCAAACTTCATTGAAATTTAGGGATTTTATTTTATTTTTTTTTTATTTCTATATTTTATTGTGTTCCAATTTAAATATTGTCTACTGTCTATTCTGTCTGTATCTAATAAATTATTGTTTCAGTGTAAAAAGACATTGTTTTATATTATTATTATTACATAGTTTTTATTATATTTTCTTACCTGCAACAAGTTGCGATTTTGCAGGATTTTGTAGTTTATTGATCAGCTTTTATTTTATTTTGTTGTTTAATTTTATAATATAATATTCCGACGAATAGAGAATCTTTTCCTTTTATGAAGTCGGTTAAAAATGGGTAATTCTGTGAATTTTGACTTATATTAACATTTTGAAATACTAACCTGAAAATGGTAAAAATGGTAAAAATGTTCGTGTTTTAGGTTATAGACTGTTAATAGAACGCCTAGAACGCGAAAAGCGAAACCTAGAAAACAGAATAAAAACCTTAAAATCTTCAAGCATGCACGTCGGCAATGTAGCCGAAATTGAATCCTTGAAACTCGAGAACATGAAGTTGACGTGTGACTTAAGTGCTGTAAGAAATAAGATGGAGATACAACAACGTCACGCCGGCACCCTGGGAGCTACCTTGTTGCAGGAAAAATTGGAAGGTCAAGAGAGGAAGATCGCCATATTGGAATTAGCTACGAAGGTAAGTTAGTATAGAAAATAGTCCACAAGTCCGAAGTACGTTTTTAAATAAAATTAAATCTAAATCATGATTTAGGCATTTTTATTTTTTGTTATACGAAAGTTTGACTACTTAAATATTGCAGTGTTTAGTGTGTCTGATATCAGATTTTATTCGAACATCCATCCTTCGAATAATAGCTGTAGGGTAATGTAACTATTTAAAGTAAACTTTAGGAATACAAAAAGAAGAGGTTGCGGTGATTTTTAGGTTGTTTTTGTGGATAATAAATTCACCATCAGATAGTGACAGGTTTAGGTGCCCCATTTTCGCATACAAGTCTCGAAGAGGGTCGAAGAGTACATCGATGTTGAGTAATCGTAATCTTATAAGGAAAAAAGAGATTTTAACCGATTTTTCTCACAAGCGCATCGTATGTATGAAAACGTACATCGTCACTAGCCCAAAAAACATATTGACTTGAATGACTCGAATGTATAAGTGCATTTAGGGGTCGGAAAATATTTCTATAAAGGAAAATCTAATTTGTCATGTGTTCTTCACAAGAGCCACTCGAAAATTTCCTTTCATTTGGTCAACATCGACATACTTTTCACCCTCTTCGAGACTTGTATGTAACTATGGGACACCTAAATCTCATTATCTGAAGGTCTAAAAGTAAAATCAATTAAGGTCCTTCACATCCAGTTTACTTAAATCTTTTAAATCAAATTTGTATCCTAATACATAATTAAGGTATTTGCTTGCTGTTTTATAAAATCTGTGACGTATATTATATACAATATATTTTTTAAAAATGTTAATAAATTTTTTTAATATAAACTAACATAAAAAGTTGCATAAAATTAAAGCCTCTATTCACGAAGACGTATTGAAGCGACATAGAAAAAAAATATTTTTACAAAGTCAATATTTTGAGAAAGACAGTTAAAATTTTGAAAATGTTTGAGAAAGTATAGTCAAAAATCGAGTAAAAACGCACAACAAAATACGAATCTAATACCGATATCGCTTAAAAAATATTAAAGACAATAAATAAGCGATCCATTCTTTGTTTCAAAAAATTTTGTTAGAATTTATTTATACAGGGTGGCCAGACGAAAACAAAACAGAGCCATTATAAGTAACTGCCTCAATATTTTAGACAAACGCTCGGACTCTTCAAATTTTTTTTTTTTAAATGAGGACATCTTTTAATCAAATCTTTAACCATCATACGTAATTCCCTTTCCCTCCGACGCTCCACCCAATGCAATTTAAATAAGGAAAGAGTCAAGTAGGTATAACACATTGAGAGAAGATAATTTTATGAACAATTCAGCAATATTCATTCATTGCATTACTTTTGATTTTAGCGCCCTCTAGCGGTATTAAATTACTATTACTATTGCAAAGTGATACATCATTTGTTAAGTTAGTTGGTTGAGATTTAAGTTTATGGATTCGCAAGGTTTTTTAATTACCTATATATTTTTGTTTGGTAGGTATGTTCTGGCATACTTTAAAATACAGTTTTTGATCCGCTAGTAACGCTGAATTCTCCATAAAAGTACCTTTTTCCTTTTTAAAATGCAATGGTTAGAGTGATGTAGGGGAGAGGAATGATGTATGATAGTTGATGATATGATAGAAAGATGTCTCCGTATAATCAAAAATTGACGCGTCCACGCATGTTTCTAAAATGTTGACGCAGTTCCTGATAATGACTGTTTCGGTTTTATATGGCCACCCTGTATATGCTGAATACTCATTAAAACAAACTGAATGAATTTTCAAGAGAACAATATTTTTTCGGGATTAAATTATCAAGAAATCTACCTATACCTACGTGACGACATAAAAATTAGAGGAAGAACATTCAAACGATGGTGATATTTTTCTTTTTTATTTTTTAAATATGTTGACCTTTTTCTCCAAATTTTGACTTCATTCTTCAAAATTATGACCTTTTTCTCAAAAATTTTATTTTTAACAAAAATTGATGGTACTAATTATATATATTATTAACATATTTTTATTCTCTTGGTTTTAAATCTAGCCACAGTCCTCCTATTGGTGTTAAAATAATTCCTTTGGTTTCCATTTTTAAGGGTAGTCTTGTCTTCTTGCTCAGTCCAAAATTAAAATTACGTATTGTCAGCGATAGTGCTATTTTTGCTTGAATCATCGCAAACCTCATTCCTAAAAATAATTAGCACACACATTGTAAAATTATTACGTTTTTCAAAAAGTTTTAAAACACAAAATAAACATATCTGTTGAAAATTCTAAAACACCAGAAAAAGAGTGACGTTTAAACGCAAAAAATTATGAAAATGAATTATGAATATGAATTAGGATAATTAATTATGAAAATTAATTACGAAAATGAATTATGAGAATGAATTGGGAAAATTATTTATGAAAATGTATTACTGTCAATAAAAATTATAAAAATTCAAAATAGTCAATTATATATTACTGCAAAGTGGCCATAAAGTAATTGAATCATCCATGACTACCTGGTATTTTTAACATAACTGTTATGGATGACGTGCATTTGAATGTTATTTGTAGCAACTGCATCTTTTTTACCTATACAATTTCTTGGTCCATCTCCAAACGGAATATAAGTACAATCCCATATTTTCGACTTGTTCTCCTCGGAAAATCGATCTGGATCAAATCTCTCCGGATCTGGAAAATATTCCGGATCTCTATGCAGACCATAGCAAGGTATAAGCACAGATAAACCCTCTGGTATGACAATATTTGTTTCTGGTATTGGATACGGTTTTGTACATTTTCTTAAAAACACCGGGGCGGGCGGATATTTTCTCATGGTTTCTGAAACAAAAATAATCATAATCATAATTACTGGTTCTTTTTGCCAGCTTTGTAGAAATTTAAAAAACGGTTTTTGCAAAATTGACTATGATATTCAGAATTTAATTCATATTATATGGTCTAACGTGTAATTTGGTTTCCAAACGAAGGTAAATTATTTTTTCTCAATAGTTAGTTAAAACTTCAATCAATATTAACACTAGAAAAATAATCTGAAATACAGGTTGTTAAAATTTAAAATAAAATAATTTTTTGCTGCCTTGGTATCTAAAAAATACTTAAGTAGGTCGATTTCAATAAAATTTCTTAATATTTCAAAAATTAACATGTTTATAGGAACTCTTTTTCCTAATTTTCCATAAGGATTAACCTTTAAAACTGTGGCGTTTATTTAGGGAATAGCAGGATTTACATTATGGTCTAAGATCCGAAGTAAGGTCGACCTTCACCCATCTGTTTAATGGATGAAAGTTTCTTTTTTTTTTTAAATATGTTTATAAATATACCGCAAATGGGTTGCTTAAAAAAATACGGTGCAGGCTATTTTCTTAAATCTAGATAGATGTCTTGAGAGTCTGATAATTTTTACTTTTTACTTTTTTACTTTCATTAATTGACGTTATATCCTTAAAAAATTTTAAACTGTTTGTGCTTGTAAAAACGTATTTTGTGTTGTTTAGTTAATAATTGTCTTACATGTGTTTTAATTAATTTATTCAAACAGGCATCTCGCGGTTTAACCTAACCTAAAATATTTTTTAAAAAAATACTATTGTATTACATATGACTTTTTTAACTTGTTTTGTTAAACTTTATGTAGCGCTTCCTTTATGGAAATAGTCAAGGTGTGCCTGATAATGAAGTGACAGCTTCGAAACCGGTCGCCAATTAAATTGACTTGTGAGAAATAAAAGGGCCTTTTCTTTAACCCCTTACACTTATTTTCTTAAAGTAAAAAAAAATGACACCCTGTAAAGTATTCCCCAGATGCTTCAACTATGCCCAAACTTTAATCTGTTCACTGCAGGATGGATTAAAGCTTAAGTTTAAAAATTCATTCGTTTTGAGTTATCTTCAAAATTCGAAATTTGCACTTTTCCTCAAATATCTCGAATTAAGTTCATTTTAGGAAAAGCATGTATCGGGACAAAATAATAGAAAATGACATCAAAAGCAACTTTTATCATGATTTCTATACTTTCCTTATCTGTACACAGAAAGGAAAGAAAAAAATGGCCGTTACCTTATTTTCTTAGGCAACCCATTTGCGGTATACTTATTTAAAAAAATATTTTATTTAATAAAAAAAAATTATTTATTAAACAGACTTACGGATCCTGGACTATTAATATCTCTGAAAAAGTTAATATATATGTCACAACTTCAATTTTAAAAAAATTATGCCCCAATATTAAACGTTTCAAATTTTGTTATAAATATCTATAAAACAGCCGAAAAATGTCTAAAGGTTTTAGTCCACCAAAATGTTAGGCCATCCATTATTTTGTAACCCTACTATTTTAATTTCATATTCAATAAGACATTTAGTCCATTCAATATTTTACAGGTTTGATACAGTATATTACATAATGAGAGGAGAAGTACTCTATTACAGCCGAGCGTTAGGACGCTATAAGCGAGAGGCTGAAATAAGGTACCTCGAGGTACATATACGAATTTACTCACATCGGTTTGTAATTATGCCTTAGGTAGCTTTTTCTATAGCTACTATGGGGTACATTCAAAATAAAGACAATTTTATTATTAAAAGTGCTGTTCAATATATAATTGGCAAAATAATTACCTATCACATTCAACAAACTTGTTATATTGCCTAGTAATGGTCTCACAGATATCTTCCTCAAAAAAACCAATAGTATTATTTGAAACTTGTATAAAATTACTAATAGTAGATTGTGAGTAAAATCAATTACATTCCTCTGGGAAATTTGATAAAAATATTTTAGGAGACTGTTTCTAGGCAATATAATAAGTTTTTTGAATCTGACAGTTAAGTAGAAGGGTAATTACCCCATTCCAAGCGGATGGAAAACATACTGAAATTTATTAAATTATAACCTCGAGATTTTACAAGGAAGCAAAATACAAGATGGCGTGAAATCTTCCCAGATCCGCGCCTGTATGTACTATACTTACCTACATAAATACTTGTATAATGTGTAGTAGATCCTGTAAAAGGATGTCTTGTAGCGGTCTCTAGGAAAATGGATTAGGTTAATTGGTGATGAGTGATGAGAAATGTCATAAATAAATAAATTATTAGAATTGATTTTAAGAAACCTTATTTCAAGAATTATTTAGAAACCCTCTAATTAATTCTCTACAATATGGCGCAGTCAGAGCAAAACGAACCAATTATCCAAATTGACTATGGTAAAGGAGATGAAGGTACCCAAGAAAAGATTGTTTTTGGAAAAAAGGAGTTGGATCAGCTAATGTCAAAATGAATAACGTTTGCAACTTTAACTAATAGCGGATTCGACTGGCTGCATTAATGCGCATTTAGTTCGACTTTTTTAAGTGGTGTCTGTTCGACTGGCAGAACCTAATTACTTAAAAGTCACTTATTGCATTCGACTCAAATTGCTCGGTACCAAGGTATAGTGAAATTTTTGTTCGACTGGTAGGCGCGCTTGCTCAAAGTTCGAATTTTTTGGAACTGTACTTTTTTTCAGTGCCAGTGTCATTTTGGAGGTTAGGAATTATTTAATATTTTTTAAATATATTGCCATCTTTGTTATTATTAGTGAGAATGGAAAATCTTTGAAATTAATAAAGATTTAATTTTTGGTTTTGCAACTATAAATAAATATCGTTAAAAATTTGTTAGAAACCTGAAATGTCAAGTGCTAACTGTGCCAGTCGAATAACGATAAAGATGCACTACACCAATGTCGAACTCTAGCTCATGCTTGCTGTATGCACTGCTAGATATAAATTTGAATTATAAAAATGCTGCCCAAAATCAATTCAGAACTAAAAGCGCTTTGTCATCGAGCAAGAGCATTTGAGTCGAATCCGCTATAAAACAGATCCTATAAAAATTTCTCAATACGACGAGCAAAGTGAGAATCCTTCTTCTTGGCTCAGTTCGTATGAATATATCTGTTCAGCTAATAAATGGATTATACGGACAATGAGAAAATTTTTAATCTAAGAAATCAGATAAAAAGCATTGCATTAAGGTGATACGAAGATAGAATTCAAGATAGTATACTAAATCAATATACATGGGAAAATTGGAAACTGAGTTTTATCAATAAATTTGATGAAAATATTGTTTTAAAATGGGAGAAAGCTGTGAATTATAAATATTATGATGGTAATATCCTAGAATACTTTTACAAAAAACAAAAATTAATAAAATAGGCAGATAGTAACATTTCTGAACTTTCATTAGTGGCAATGATAATTCTAGGTCTTTCCATTGATGTTCAGAAGCAGTTAAGAGACAAAATCATTAATTCCAAAGAAGAACTTCTCCAACTACTAAAATCCTTAATAGTTGGTGAATATCCTAAAAGACAATGGCCAAGAAGAGATTCTCAAATGCAAGGCCAGCCAATAAGCAGTAATAAGAAAGACATTAGATGTGAAATTATAAATGTATTTAATGCCAGTAATGTTGAACGCAATATTGAACCAGAAGACCAAATAAATATTATTGAAATTTATTTTAGTTATTCTCTGACAAATGGAGTATTAACTTTTAAATGGTCAAAAAATGAAAGTACTCTTTGATACTGGATCGGATATTAATCTGATTGATGAAGAATTAGTAAATAAAAATAAATTTCCTGTTCTTTCAGAGCTGAAGCAACTATTGAAATTAATAAACAGCTCGTAACTTTTTTCGCAGTAGTAAAAGATTTAAATTTTGGTATACTTTTAGAACGCCATTTACTTAATAAATTAAAAATATTTAAATTAAATTGGAACTTAGGAAAAGAAAATGAATTTACAGAAAACAATGTATCCAAAAATGTTTCAAATTTTCTAAAATGTAATTATTCAAAACCGTCAACCTTTGAAATAGATTTTAATTTAAAAGAAAATACAAAAATTATCGATATTCAGAAAACAAAAGAATATGAGTTACTTAAAAACAAAATAATTACGAAGTCAATATCTCCTTTTGCTTCACCGTGTGTTTTAAACACAAAATCTGATGTAATGATTACCGAAAAATTAATGAGTAAACTGAATTAGATCCATTTTCTTTTCCAATCGGTGATGAAATCATTCAAAAATTTGGTGGATGTAAATTTTTCTCAAAATTTAATCTGAAGGATGGGTTTTGGAATATAAGTATATCGAAAATGACACAGAAATATACTGCGTTTGTGACAGAAGACGGGCATTATGAATATACAAGACTTCTTTTAGGATGAAAAACTCTAGTGCACATTTTTAAAAAATAATGCAGTAAGCTTTAAGTGAACTACTTGATAAGAATGTAGTAGTTTTTATCGATGACATTATGTGTGAAGGATATTCTTATAACGAGTGTGCTAAGCTTTCGACAGAAGTCATGTACCAACTCAATAAACATAAATTTAAAATAAATCTAACAAAATGTAAATTTTGTGTTTCCAAAATTATATTTCTTGGTAGGGAAATTGATGGTGATATCAAGAAAATGAAAAATGAATCCATTGAAAAGGTAAAGAATATGAAGAAACCGTATGATCTAAAATCCCTACAGTGCTTCACTGGATTAACAAATCATTTTAGGCATTTTAAAAAAGACTATGCGATTATCGTATGACCACTTGACAGATTAAAATGTAAAAATACGAAATTTATTTGGACTGATGAATGTGAAAAATCTTTTAATACATTGATAGAATTATTAACATCAGAACATATTTTAAAAATTCCAGATCCTATAGGTTAAAATTTGAGCTTAGTACCGACAATTCTTATTTTGGTTGTTGAGCTATTTTATACCAAAGAGATGAAGAACAGGTGAAGAATAAACAACTTAGTGATTTCATACTATTCCTATACCTTTAATAGACATGAACAAAATTATTCTGTCACAGAAAAAGAGTGCCTTGCGGTTGTAAAAGCAGTTAAACATTATAGAACTCTGCTGGAATCAAGAAAATTCGTAGTACATACTGATCATCGAGCATTGAAATACAGGGAGTTTCATAATATATGCACGTCCTGAAGTCCTGCGCATATATTAGGAAACACCCTGTATATTTTATCAACAGGTGTTTTAAGAGATAGGTTAGCTAGAAGGCAAATACTTTTAAGCAGTTTGATGTGTTAGTCAACCACAAACATTGCAAGGAACTAGAAGATAGTGATGCAATCTCAAGATTGTGCGTGGATTTTCCTGATGAGGTCATAGAAACATTTTGGTGCAATTTGAATGTACAGGATTTGGAAAAACAAGAGGATGAAAGGTTTGTAGTAAAAAATGCAGATGTAAAGAGAGAAATTTTACAATCTTACCATGATGATCCTGATTCTGGAGGCCATGATGGTTTTTACAAAACATATTATAAGATAAGTTAGCGGTTCGTTTGGAAAGGATTAAGTAAAGACATTAAATATTATATAAGAACTTGTGAAATATGCCAAATCGTAAAATGTTATTATCCCAAACCAAATTATACACACTTGGCTTCATGTTCTCAAAACCCATATGAAAAGGTTCATATTCATTTTGCGGAGATAGAAAAAAAAACAGATTTAAACAGAACTACAAAATAATTTATTGTTCTAATACATGAAGCCACTAGACATGCAAGTGCCAAATCAATAAAGTAAAGTGGTGAGGCTTTGAAAAAAATTTTCAAGCCAGATAAAAACAGTTGTCACAGACTGTGCATCTTCGTTGACATCTGGATCATTTTAAGAATGGGCTACCTCGAAGGGGATAGAACTCATCCACACTTCTCCTTACCATCCGGCAGGAAATGGATTAGCCGAACGAACTGTTAGAGAAATAAAAACGTAAATACAATGTTATAAGGATTTTAGGGGTGGTTGGAAAACATGCCTTAAAAACGCCGTGCGACACCATAATTATTCTCATAATGAGTTCCTGGGATGTTCCCCTAATTAAAAATTGTTTGTAAAGAGTGCACTTTTAAATGCTGACAAAAAATTTAATATATAAGGGCCCCTAAAAGAATTTCCTAAATCTTTGGAAGAACAGTTGAAATATAAACAAAACATTTAGAAGCAAGCAAATAAAAATAGAAAAATACTTTCTCCAAACGTGAAAGTGGACGATTTTATCTTAGTAAGACGTCAGAAAATAGGAAAAAAAGTTGTTGTAAAGGGACCATTTAGAGTAATAGGTACAAAATACATGGAAGGAGTTTTAACTTATGTCCACTACAAAAATGGTCAAAAGGAAGAAGTTGCCCATGTATCAAACCTAAGACTATATCATCACAGGGGGTATTGTAATATATCATCCTGTGAGAGGATGTCTTCTTGTAGAGGTCTCTAGGGAACTGGATTAGGTTGACTGGTGATGAGAATTGTCATAAATAAATTGTTAAACTTGATCTAAGAAAAACCTTATATCAAGAATTATTTAGAAACCCTCCAAATAATTCTCTACATAATGTATTTTGTGAGTTTTGTTTACTGTACGTTTTGTTTACCTATCGTTTTTTTACCGTGCTTTTTGATTAGCGTGCGTTTTGTTTTCCGTACGTTTTGTTTTCCGTGCGATTTGTTTACAATGCGACTAGATATCAAGTGTTTTTGTCTGCTTTCCATAGTGGTCGTGGGTAAATAAATATATTCGTTGGCGAATCCATAAAGAAACACCTTAATTAAAAAATTTGACAAATGAGGCTAAAAATCTTTTAAGTAAAACAATTTTATAAAGACAAAAACAGTTTAGTACGCTTTTTAAAAACTAATAGTCGATTTGTTATCTTTGTTATTATTACATGTTTGAAACAGTATTTTATTACTAAAATTTAATGAACTTTTTTATTTTATTCAACAATTTTCATTAATTTTCGCTTACGCTCTTTTAATTTTTATTTAACTTACTCATTTTTAGGATAGTGTAAACAACAATAGTCAAAATACCCTTAAGATGATGAAACAAATCAGGGCAGCAAATTCTGTATCTAGAAAATCTGATTCAATAGGAAAATTGGTCTCTAATGGCGTTGTTGCGCATACTTTAACCAATATTTTCTCAATTAATGTATTTAATAACGGCCAACGTTACAATGACAACGCGGTTGGGCCGTATAAACTGGCAATGCTGATATTATCTATTTCCTGCGCGCGCTAATGCTGACTGTAGTTTTCACATGGACTTGTGGAAAGTTTATTGGAAAACGTTGTGGCTCATACTGTATATGCGCGCTAGTGGTAATACCTCGCGATGTTATGTGTCTTGAGATCATTGAGAGCTTTAAATGTTTGCAACGATTAGGCAACACTCTGCACAAGACATTTTATAAAATAACATTGGAAACCTTTCCATTTAAAAACTACTAGATATTTATTAAAACAAACAGCATCAAATTTTTATAGATTTAATACAGAATGGCGCATAAATGTTTTTTTTAATTCCTTTCAAAAATTATCAAAATAAATACTTTTCAAAGGTTTACAAAAAAATCTAGGTGTTTACGGTACAAAAAAAATAGTAAATTTACATTTTACGGATTTACTAACATCTCTTAAGTGTCACTTTTTTGGCCGCATTTACTTTACGGCCGCTTTTTTAAACATAGGTTTATCATAATTATCAAGAATGTAAAAAAAATATTGACTCTACTTGATTAGACAGGCGCCCAAAAAATGTTGTGTGCACCTCGGCAGTATGACCTTTTTCGGCCTAACCAGATCAATTTTACGGCCTTGGTATACAAATAACTATTCTTTATCTTAAACATTAATCACTCTTTTATATTTACCAAATATGACGGTATCCAAATAAGTCATTTCCATCACAGACTCGTAAGTTACACTCTGGTACCTTTCAAAAATTTTATCAACCTCTTGGCGAGCTTTGTCTTGGATATTCTGATTGATTGCCATTTCGAATAATGCAAAACTGATAGTGGTTGAAGTGGTCTCGAAACCTGCCAAGAAGAAAATGAAAGCTTGTGCGGCCGCTTCTTCCATTGTTAAGGCCGTTCCAGGAGGCTGCTGGAAGAAAATTGTTTGATAAGAAATTGTTGCAAGAAAAAATAATTTCTAAGTAAATCTTATACAAGACACGAACTTCCTATCAAATCATGTTAGTTTCATTATTTAAATTTTTCTAAGAATACCTTTTTCGATTCATCTTCTTCTTCCAGCCGTCCGTTTTTCCTGAGCTGCACCAAAAGTTGTAAGAAATCGGGTCTCGTAACATTATTATTTTCTCGATATTCTATTGTTTCTCTCACTACTTTATTGAAAAAACTTGTGACGTTTTCTGAAAACACGCCTATTCTCAACAGCCTTGCTAAAGATGGAAAACTTCGAATGATAATCTGTTAAAATAAAAAAATATGATAGATATTGCTTTCCTTTATAGTTAACAGTAATTATAAAAAACTCGAAAAATACTTTATATATATATATATATTTTTAAAGATATTATTTTTTACGTTTTCTCAATGATTAATTTCGAGGAACGCTAAATTGGTGGTTCCCACCTTATTTGGACTGAGGCCGCCACCAACAAATTCGTAGCATAAAATATTTGTCTTCGAACGAAAGACTAAAAAACGATGAAAAAAAAGTATAGACATTGAATTGTTTGGTTTGTGAAGCATTTGGCTAAATCACGTAGAAGTTTTTCACATTGTTTTTAAGAAATTCCTCTTAAACTTGTCAATGTAAAATTATTTTGACCCTTTACCATCCAGTATATCGCCAATATCATATTTCACTATTGGCATCAACAAACAGCTAGTTTCGGCACTACTGAGCATGCGCATTAAGTTGTTTTTGACGATGCTGCGTCATTAAACATGGCCGGATTTATTTCCAATTTTGAAATTATTAGATTAGAAAATCTAATTTTACGATACATTTTTATTATTAGCTTGATTATTTTCATTCTACGGCTTTCTTCTCCTACAAAATAACTTAATAAATGATTGTCATCACCTCTACTGTGGAATATGGTCCTCGGCACCCTCATCAGCCGCCTCAATAATGACAGTCACTACACAATATGCAGATGACCTGGTCATTCTGCAAACAGGGAATTTTGAGAACATATTCTGCGAAAGAATGGAAGTAACTCTAAAAATTATAGAACAGTGGTGCAAGGACCATTCACTGTCTATCAATCCTAAGAAGTCAGAAATGGCCCCTTTCACAAGGAAAATGGAATTAAAACCTCCAGAACTCCTAAACACAAAACTAAACTTTGCAACAGAGGTCTCACCTTTGACAGCAAGTTAACATGGAACTCGCATTTAGAAAACAGTTAAAAGAGCATAAATTGCTTATAAACAATGCCGCCGTACCATGGGGCGCACCTGAGGTTTCTTCCCCAGAGTCGTCGCATGGACTTGCACGACTATCATAAGACCTATGCTAACATACGTTGCAGGTGTCTGGGAACCGAAAACCCAAAAATTAACAGCTATCCGTAAACTAGAACAAATTCAAAGAACAGCATGTCTCAACATAACAGGAGCCATGAAAGCAACACCGACCAGAGCCATGGAAGTCATTCTCAGTCTCACTCCCCTTGATATATACATCAAAGAGGTTGCTCTGACGACAATGACTCGCCTCAGCACGGTTGGAATAGAACCTGATGTAGGATCTGGTGAGGCGAGACGTCACTTTTGGCAGGAGGCGCTCGATACGCTCCCATTGCTTCAAGCGAACATGGACTCCATCTCACTGATATATATCTTCCATAAGCCATATAAAGTTATAATAGAACAAATAGAAGAGCCAGAAGTGGCAAGTATGATTTATATCTACACCAACCGTTCTAAAACAAAACAAGGCTCAGGATGTGAAATATACTCCAGATTCTTAAACCTAAACATAAAATGGGTTGTGAGCAATAGTGCCAGTGTAGTTCAAATAGAACTAACGGGATTCTCATAGCAGCAAAAGAAATAACCAGAAATAATATCACTGGAAGGAACATGCTCATCTATACAGATAGCAGACAAGCGCTACTCACCCTAAACAGACCACGAGTTTATTCAGGATTAGTACTAGAATGTCACGAAGTATCCATCAACAATGTGGTCACCTTAAGATGGATCAGAGATCAGGCCACATCGAAAGGTAACCGTCTTACTGATTCACTAGCCAAGAAAGCAATCAACCAAATTCTTTTTGGACCTGGCCCTTCTATTGGCCTTACAAAATTGGTAGTAACAAGACCTAATTAAAGAACATTCCCTTGTGAAATTCAAGGAAAGATGGGATGAAACAAGAAACTGCAGAGTTGCCAGGGACCTCTTAAGTTATCCTGACAACACTGCAGCAAACAAATACTTGACTATGAGTAGCCAGAATCTACGCCTAGTCTGACTGGTCATTGCCAAGTACGGAAGCATCTCTATATAATAGGGCTGTCAGAATCCGCACTCTGCAGAGGGTGCGAACAAGAAGATGAGACCATCAAGCATATCCTTTACGATTGCTCGACGCTCTCATTTATTAGATATAAGAGAAGCACCTCTTGGTGACGTTGTCAACTACATTAAATCTGTAGGCTGGCTCACGAGCTAGGAGGTGCCACAATGGGCCTAATTAGGCCTAAGTACCATGGGGGTAACCCACCCTCCACACGTTACAGATACAAAGAAATGATCGTCATATTCATTCAATTAATTATTATTTTCAAATACTGTTTGGTTAAAATTTCAATAAAATTTTGTTCCCGTGGCATAAAGAATTATCGCCGACTATAAATGAAAAATGAAGAGTTTGATAAATTATGGACCCAATTATAAGATCTTGGCCAAATTTATTTAGGAGCTCCCCTGAAATATTCCCTTTCTAACAAAAAAGAATCATTTAAATCGGACAAAAAATTAACACATCTTTTCTCTGAAGCGATAAAAAGTTACTTAAAGCACCAGAGAGTCGAGAAAGAAACATTTTGTAAAATAATGAGCAGTGATAACGATGATAGTGACGATGAATGAAGGTTGATTTCAATATTTCATGATAAATTATAAATACAATTTTTCTTGTATGGATACCTATATTTGTTATTTAAATCAAAGTTCCCCAATCGCCCGCATTCCTAAAACCAACAAAATATATTACTGTCACTATAGGTACTATCTTCAATTTGGATTTTGTACCCGTTTAAAAAAATCTGATGTGTCCAACTCATGACTTTCCTATCTTCCTATCTAGTTATTACGGGCTTTTTTCGGTTATTTTGTACAACCTAGTGTAGCACCTCTGTAAATATTTGGAGGTTAACTTAATATATACATTTTCCACATACATCTAACTCGAAAATTCTGAAAAATTTACAATTTTCCTCCAATTTTTCCATTATGGTCCATTTTAGAGAAATCATGTAAAAAACACAAAAATTATAGAGATGGATATGGCAAACATCTTTTAATTCAACAATTTTCTTAAAAATCATAATTTTTTACATTTTGTAAAATTTCTCGAATACGTACCATTTTAGAAAAATTTTGCATAAAACAAAAATTATAGAAAATAATATTAGAAGTAACTTTTATTAAAAAAAATTTTCTTCTCCAAACGTAAATAACAGACATATTCCATAAAATATAAAAACGGCCTCCCATAAAGTACCCCCCCCCCCAGATGTTCCGCCTTCGTCCAAATTCTAATCATTTTACCTCAGGCCGAAATTAAAATTAAGTTTAAAATTTAATGTCATTTCCTTTATCCGTTTTTGAGTTTTCTTCAAAATTCGAAATTTACACATTTTCTCAAATATCTCAAATACGGTCCATTTTAGAGAAATTATGTAGGAGAACAAAATAACAGAGAATGACATCATAAGTAACTTTTATAATGATTCCTATGCTTTCCTTATCTATACACAGAAAGAAAAGTAAAAAATTGCCGTGGCCGTATTTTCTTAGGCAACCCATTTGTGGTATATTTAAAAATATATTTTATTTAATAAAAAAAAACTTTTATCCATCAAATAAAATCAAAACCGTAAGTCGGTCGAAGCTTTTGTTCTAAGATTATGGTGTACATACATACGCACGCGCAGACAACCAAACGAGATTTTGGTCTTCAATAAATAAAATATTTAAATACTCAATCGAAAAAAAATAAAAATATATAGAAACGTCAATAAACATTTCAAATCATTTTGACGTTTCATTCGAATAACTAAATTGTCTAGTTTCGAAGACAACTATTTTTACATTTGACACGTTTTTATTTCATTGCCTTCTAAATATCACTGTCTTTTGATTTATTTTCCAGTTCAAATATGTGCCTCATGATATTTTCAAATGGATTTAAATTTTTGCCGACATATTTACCTTTCGTTTTTGACCTTTTTTGCTATATATTATTTTGGTGCACGATGCTCAGTGAGATTTATTGGTAAAATCTGACAACCATATTGTTTGCAATCATTCGTCGTACCTATCAATACTGATTGAAAATAGAGGTATTTTCCGCGAATGTCCCTTCGAAATGGAAAAATATGTAAAAGATTTACGTTTTCGTTGTACCAAGTGCCCATTTTTTTATCATTGGCGTGTAAAAAATACTTTAATGTGAAGGTGATAGTAATTGTGTAAAAGGAGTATAACTCAAATTTTTATATAAATAAATAGTGTGATTTAATTAAAAAAGTAAGGTAATACCTACATACCATTTTTAACAAATCTCCAACACTTTGTGTAAAAGCTCTCTTTCCCATAATCCTGAATTCTGCATTTGGATCTGTCATACAGTGACACTCTAAACCAAAAGCGCAAGATCCTATGACGTCAGTAGTGTACCTTGCCAGGATTTCCTTTATTTCAACTTCTTTTTCATTTTCGGCGATTTCGTTGAGTTTTTTAGACATTGTGTGGCCGCATTGAACAATTGTATCGAACATGTATTTTAGTTTTCCAGGGGAGTAGGCTGGGGTGAGTTTTGCGCGGAGATTTTTCCATTTTGGGCCTAAAAACGAATTAAAACTTTTTTAAAAATGAATTATTAATCTATCAAGTTTATTGTATCTAAAATTGCATAATTATAATCTAATCTTTCGATGATATAAACACTATATGGGTCCGATTACAATAAAAAGAACACGGCAGCGTCATTACTTAACGGAGGAATTATATTTTTAAGCCAAACAACTTACTAATTCTTCATTTATATATAAATAGGTGGTGAAAAATAATATACGGGGTAGCGAAAAAGTTTTGTAACAAGGTATTTATTTTCTTTGAAACAAATGCAAGTATAATTATGAAATTGTAGTGTGATAATTGGGACTGTATTACATTATGATTGTTTTTTCTGATCCTACACCTACAGGGTAACGGAAAAGTTTGACAACAAGGTATTTTAGGGTTATAAATGAGACTTTCTTTCATTAGTAGTGTGGTACTTTTTTTAGTATTCTAGAAAAAAAGAAAAAATAGTTTTCTCGACTTGGACCTGAACCTACGTTGCCGTTTAAAAAAATTCAAGATGGTCATGTCCTCTAAAAAAAATGTAGGATACAATAATAAATAATATTGTCGTGCAACCACCTAAAGTTGACCCTGATCCTCTCGCCGTTACAAGCCGCCGTTTCATCTATGTTTCGATACCGCAGAACAAAGACTAACACACTCCTTCGAGAAGTTAACCGAAAAATGAGATTCTAGACCACCGAGAATCTACTCGAGCGAGTGGCTTTATATAAATAAAGCGACTTTGTCGGTAGACGTTGTCTCAATATAAGTGTTGTTTAAATTGTATAAATTGTATAATAAATAAATTAGAAGTGTGAGTTATAATAGTGCTTAAGCATTACATATATAAATTAGTACGTTATAAATAAATTATTAATAAACTATTTTAAATAAATAAACTATTTTTAAATTAAGCAATCGTTACAATATAATGAAATTAAATAAATATGTAATAGTGATCAAAATGACAATAAATTGTCGTATTAATTTGTGACCTTAATAAGACGTTAAAGAAGAGACGTCATATTCACGTCATTTTTTAGTAACATGACGTCCATGACCAAGAATTACAAAAAAATGTCTGGGTAGGGATAGCCACATGCGTGGATACAAGAGGTGGTAAAAGTGTAATTACCCTCCAAGCTTTTTGAAAAATACTGAAATGTATTAAATTGTAACCTCGAGATTCTATGTAAAAGCAAAAAACAAGATGGCGGCGACGAATAAAATTATTTAACTCCCCTCTCCTAAAAATCTTCCTAGATCCGCGCCATGCCCCAGTTTCCCAAGATTAAAATGTTTACGTAATCCAGTCTTTTATTTAGGGTGGACATATACACAGCATTTCTTGGTGAGTTTCAGGGGACCAAACCCTTCCACCCCTCCCACACGTTAAAATTGTTACAATCCATAAATGAGACTCCTTTCATTTATGATCATACGCACAGCATGTTTAAAGTCTGTGCAAAATGCTACATCACTGAGCAAAAGTCCTGGGAAAACTAAAAAAAGGTCTTCTAGTAGGTTTGTACATGCGCCTTGTGTTCATCTATGTCAAGGAGCAAAAAGAAGATAAAAAAAAATTCGTTTTCAGAAAAAAAAATGGCGCCTCCCGACAATTCAACCTGGAGCGGACATTGCTCCACATGGCACTTTTTAGAATACTATATCCAATATATTAAATAATTTAACAAAATTAGTAACAACCACATGGATATTATCTATTTTACGCATAGACTACATAACGAAAAAGTAAGCCATTGTGTATAATTGTACGTATACATTTCATATATTATATTCTAGTAAGGACACTGTACGGATATGAAATGCACCAATCATAGTTCATATTTGATGACCGTCCTACTATTATTTTAAATAAGTGACAATTCTGTCAAACTAATCGTCTGTATATTTTTTGTTATTGAAATTAAATATAGTTAAAAGTGATAAATAATATAATTTCATAAGATATTCGTCTATATTTACAGATAAATCGTAAATTTTAATAAAAGTGAAGAATGTGTAGGTAGTTTTTCTTTACTACATTCAAAGCCTGAAAATTGAGTTTTAACACATTTTGCTTAACCGGTTCTCATTAAGGCTTCGATTAGAGGCACGCTTGTGCAAGTAATTTGGTGTGCACATAGAAACAAAATCCTCAGGAGAGCGACAGAAACAAGTGGTGCTTGTCCATCGCCGCTCACACTGCACGCAACAAGCAAGTGCACGCTGGTACAAGCTTGATCCGAAACAAAAATATTTGTTTTTTATTTGAAAGCGTGCGTGATCTCAGTTGAGTTCTGATTATCGAAGCAGTGATAGTGTAGTGTTGTAGAGCTTCTGATTTGTGTTTACGAGTATATGATGGATACGGAAACGCTTATCGATGCTGTGACAAGAAAAAGAAGTCTCGTTAACCCACTCTTCCCTGATTTCCTGCTCATCCAAAATAAAAACTTTGAAAAACACCATTTTCCAAAACAATGTCCTCATCGTCTGACATCTCCATTTTGACTGACCTGTTTATAATAATTAACTTGCACCTGCTTACATTTAGTGTGCGCACATTGCTGTTCACGCCAGCTTGCGCACGCGCGCGCCACCAAATTACTTGCACAAGCGTGCCTCTAATGTGCCTCTAATGTGATCGAAGCCTTGCGACAGACCCACAGGTTTTCCACGGGCAGCATTTTGACAGGTCGTTGGAAAATTCAATTTAACCAATAAAAACGCGCTAATATCAAATTTTTAAATCGAATCCTAGATGGGATGTTCTCTTTTTAAAGATTATTCCATACAGTTTTATGTTGAAGACAAAAAGTAGAAAGATTATTTACCTTTTTTTATATATGAATAAAAGACCAATCTAACAAAGTTCGATATTAATCTCAATCTCTAGTTATTCGCGATTCAAGCTAAGTGATACGCCCTCTGGAGGAAATTTGTAGAAGGTCCCTATAAGTAGGATATCGTTCAGTGTTGCCAGAAGTAGCAAAATTTCGCTACGTCGTTGGATTTTAGCTCTTGAAGAAGTGGATAACACCTTTAAGAATCAAAATTTGTGTCTAGTAATATGTAATCATACTTTATATTTATTTAAGAATTTTTTTATAAAACCGATTTATTATACATCGATGGCTTAGAGCACAAATATTGTATGTCCAAAAATGTCGTTTTGAGTTAAATCGATTTAAAAGTTGGAGGTGACTATGATGAGCTGTATAATTTTTATTAGCATTACTTTACTGAATGGTAAATCTATTTAAGTGGACGTACTATATTTGGAAACCGTAAAGATTTCATCATGAAGGATATAGAATCCTACCTATTCCATTTTTGACAAAAATGGACATACAATATTTGTGCTCTTAACCATCGATATATTGATTTTTTTTAAATTTCATCTCATTTATTAATTTTGTTTTTAAATCAGTTTATCATTTTGCAACAATGGCTTTCGTGTTCATTGTCTACATTTTAATTTGTATCAATTACAATTCGAGTTTTTCTTACTTTTTAGCTTTAAATTTGTTTTTTTCTTATAGTATGAGATAGTGTTTATATTAAAAATTAAATCTGCAAAAAAGTCCCCAACAAATTGCAATTTTTATGGTGTTAATGTCAAAATTAAAACTGAAGTATTCATTATTTTCCAAGTGCAAGTCGTAAAATTTTGTTTCTTATGATAAATGGATATCTATAAATTCACAATATTGAAATTTTGCAAAACTTTGTTTAGAATCAAACTGTAATCTGATTTGTGACGGTTTTATTACCATTTACATGTATACAAAGTACTACACAATTCACTTCTTAATATAAGAATAAAGATAGTAAGAGTTTTAAATAAGTTCATTAATAATAAACGTTTGGTACCTAAAATGTCCTTTAAACCACATAATAAAACATGTCCTGGGTTTAGTAAATACATATTTCTAGATGTTCTTGTAGTAACCAATAGGTGAATATTTCCAACAAATTAAGTCATTCACATGGTAAATATTATCTTTATGACGAAAGCACGAGAAATAAACTTAAATTAACACTAAATGAAACTCAAAAACACTATAACAATGAGAATATTATCTAAACACAGTTAAAAAAATCACAAATATAAAATCCGCCCAAAACAAACACATGTAAATAAACACACATCCTACTTATAGGTGACAAATGACAGGCGCGCGAAAATGAATTTGAATCGCGAATAGGTGAAAGATAATAAAATATTAACAAAGAGCCCTAGGACAGCATTTCTCAACCTTTCAGTATTCGGAACACAATTTTCAATAACAATTTTTATGGTGCCCCCCTACCTTTCTTTTTAACCGACTTCAAAAAAGGAAGAGGTTATCAATTCGTCGCGATATTTTTTTTTATGTATGTTCAGCGATTATTCTTTAACACGGTGTCCAATTTCAATGATTCTTTTTTTGTTAGAAAGGTGGTACTTCAGGGGTGGTCCCATATAAATTTAGTCAAAACCTAATAATTGGGTCCATGAGAAAATCCTCAACTCTTCATTTTTTTATGTATGTTTAGCGATAATGCCTTGTCCGATTTATATGATTCTTTTTTTGTTAGTAAGGGGGTACCTCAGGGGTGGTCCCATATAAATTTGGTTAAGATGTGGTGATGGCATCTGCACGTTTTTGAAGTTGGTTTTTTTAAATTTTTAATTTCTAATACTTGTTCATATAATAATAAAATACAACGTATATTATGAGTTCAAAATTTTGCGTGTTGTTAGTGCCTTAGACCCTAGACACTAGGCTTAAAGCCCTAATATAGATCTTAATTACAGACCTTCAAAATTAGCGAGAATAGGTGAATTTATTGAAACTTGGCAATGCCACTCCGCTACATCCACATACTTTGATTTTCTTTTACTATACGGAGAATGGTCGCACTGCGCAGCTTTCTGAGTGCCTTTTAAAAGGAGATAGAAAACTCCGCCATTTTGAACCCTTATTACGTGTTGCCTACATGTTGGCG